GATGGGTTTGGGGGGGGCCGAAGGCCCCCGAATCAACCAAACTCAGCTACCGAAAGGCACTCGAAACGAAAAGGGGGCCGAAGGCCCCCTAAATGCAAAACAAAGGATTCTAAACAATTTAACGTAAATCGCCAAGCAATAAACTAAAGCTAGCGTGCTTTTAAAGCCGCAGGCTTTCCACGCGCGTCCCTGGACGCGCCCCCAAAGCTCTAGCAGCGCGCGAAGCGCGCCCCAAAGCCGTCAGGCTTTCCAAAACCAAAAAGTATCGTACCAAAGGCTCCCCCCAGCGTAACTTTACCGCCAGAGTATTACAATCCAATTCAGCTACTCACCCTGCAGCTAGTTACATACTATAATAATTTTGATGTTTATAATATTCTGATTTAATAATTCTGATTAAATACCCTATAATTTAAATTCTGATTTTTCCGGAAAGTTTGCTTTATTTAAAAATAGGTTTATTTACTATGTATAATAATTCTGGCGTTTATAATATTCTGATTTAATAATTCTGATCTAATATAAATTCTGATCTTTCCGGAAAGTATTTTAATATTAATAAGTTTATTTACTATAAAAATTCTGACTTTAGTATTCTTTTCCGGAAAGTTTATTTTAGCAATAATTATTCTGAAATAATAACTAGTAATTCTGATTTATTACTAGGTTCATTAATTTGATTATTATGTTTAATTAATTCTGATTTATTGTCATTTAGAAAATTCTTTTTTTTTGTGTTATCTGATTTAATTTCACGACCAGACTAAAAATGAACATTTATGTATTTAGGAATCAAGGACGAAAAGCACGAGGAAGGACCGATCTAGCGATATATTTAATGAATTAGTTTTTTGGAGGAAGAGATTAGATTAAATAAAATAAACTAGTTGTAATAAATAAATTTAAAATTAATTTTAAATAAATACATAGTATATAAAAATATTTTGTACTCAAATAACACAAAAAGGAAATACAAACATTCTGAAAATAAAATCAGAACTATTTTATAAAAAAGAAAATCAGAATTATTATTTTATTAAAAACTTTCCGGAAAAATTAGAATATTTATTAAAACCTTCCGGAAGGAAAATCAGAATTTTTAATTAAACTTTCCAGAATAAAATCAGAATTATTTTTTAAAAGAAACCAGAATTTTTAATTAAACTTTACGGAAAAATCAGAATTTTTAATTAAACTTTCCGAAATAAAACCAGAATTTTTAATTAAACTTTCCGAAATAAAACCAGAATTTTATTTTATTAAGCCAAAGATCAGAATTATTTATTAAAAACTTTCCGGAAAGAAAATCAGAATATCTCTAATGTATTTTTATATTTTGTATAAATATTAATACATTATATTTACCCCCAAAATTCCTTTATTTTTATATCCAAACAATTTTCTAGGTCATTTATCTTTCTCTCTCGTTTAAATAATAAATATATTAATAATTCCATTGAATAAATTTGTTCCGTGATCCTTTATACGAGATTTATTTTAAAAAGGAATTTATATATTTTTATTTTTGACAATAAATAGCCTTGAAAATTCCATTAGTAGTCTAAATATATACATTAATAAATAACAAAAATAATTTTTAATAAATTAATTATTTAAATATTTGTTTTAAGGAGTTATACTTTCCGGAAAAGGCTATAATAAATCAGAATTAATTTATAATATTCCTCTTTGATTAAAATAAACTTTCCGGAAAAGAAAATAATAAAATCAGAATATAATTTATTTTATTAAAACTTTCCGGAAATGAAATCAGAATTTTTTTCAATCAAAAATCAGAATTTTTTAATAAGAATTTTTCAGAATTTTTCTTCAGAAAATCAGATTTTTTAAATTTTTAATCTTTTATTTTTTCAAAATTTCTTTTTTTAATCTACAACCATTGATTCGCGCCATTGGTTACTCCTTGTGTGAATGACCCCAATTTTTTTATTTTTGACGGCACAAAAAATTTTTTTCGGTTAGCTTAAATATTGTTCTCGTGATGTGACAGGAAGTATAAAATTTATAAAAGAATCGATCATCTAAAAATATTTTTTATTCAAAAAAATAAGGTCAAAGCTAAAAAAGAGTGTGAGCGATATAATACGTCAGAACTGCGCATATATTAAATCGTATAAACTTTCCGGAAAGAAAATCAGAATTATTATTCTGAATTAAATAGTATTTATAGTAATTCAGAATTTTCTTAATAAAAGTAAATAAACTTTTTCCGGAAAGAAATTATAATTTTAATTAATTTTCCGGAAGGAAAAGAATAAGACCAGAATTATTTCAGAATTTTCCTAAAAAGAAAATAAACTTTCCGGAAATAAAAAAAATAAAATCAGAATTAATATTCAGAATTACTATTCAGAATTATTATTCAGAACTTTCTTATAATAAAAGAAAATAAACTTTTTCCGGAAAGAAATTATAATTTTAATTAATTTATATATATTTTCCCCCATCCAATTCTGATCATTTAAAAATAAAATAAATTACTATACATTTACTATGAGTCGATCAATGACCGTGTCATCAATATTGCATCTTTTTTCCTTCTTCAAATTTTTTTTTCTTTTTTCACACATTTGCGCAATATCAAAAATAAAAAATTTTATTTTATTTTATACAAAAATTTATTTTTTATTTATTCCCGCCTTCTCCTCTCCTTTGCCCTCCCTGCCCTCCCACCTCCTCTCCTTCCCCTCTTTTTTGGTAGCAAATTTGCGCAGGGATAGTTTTTCTCTCCCTTTTTAAAATATTTTGCGGGAAAAGACGGAAACATTCTTCTCTCTAATAAAATAATTTTTTCCCCAATTTTTTTTCTTTTTTTTAAATTTTATATTTGCGTCATTCAAAATTCTAGGTTAAAAATTTTAAGGATTTTTTAATTTTAAAAATTAGGTGAATTATTGAGGGGTATATAAACTATTTAAATTAAAGTGCCAAAGCCATTAATTTAATTATTTTTTGGTGGTCCCTATTTTTTTTGGAATTTTTTGGGGTTTTTGATAGGTCCAGGTAGGGGGCTTCAGGAAAAGATAAACCTCTCCCAGTGATTTAATTTAATTAATTTAATTAATAAAATAATTTTTCCCCAATTAAATTAATTTAATTAAATCCCTTATATTTAACTAATAAAAATTTTTTTACCCTTTCCTTCTTTTTTTAAATAAATTTCAACAATTATTTCAAAATTTAATTTTAATTAATTTATATTTTTAACAATTAAAATAGACTCGGGCCTAGCTGTTAATTTGCTGTAGTTTAAGGTAGTCTCCTCCAAATTCCTTCAATTTATTTTTCCCTGTGGCGCGCTTTCGTTTTAAACAAAAATCGGGAGTGAGTGAGAGAGAGGTGTGTGTGGAAATGATCAGTTTGGTTGATTAAAAATAGTGAAAATTAAGTTTTGAGGAAAATAAATATTTTTTACGTTTCCAAAAAATTTATTATCGATAATTTAAAAGGTGTGAAAATTTTTTAGAAAATTAAAAAAATTAATTAGGATTAATTTAGACAAGCGACCCAAGCCTAGTTTTTTGCTTAATAACTAATTAATAAACTAGTTAATCTATATCAATTTTTATATCATTCGATAGAGGAGAAAAAGGGCTACAAAATAAATTTAAAAATAAATTTTTCATCAAGCAAACAAAAAAAGTTGTGGTCGAAAAACTGCCACCAACCTGGGATTACTTTATGCTAACAACCCAGGTTCGGTATTTTTTGATATCTAATTAATAAACTAGCTAATCCGTATCAATCTATATATCATTCGATAGAGGAGAAAAAGAGCTATAAAATAAATATTAAATCGAATTTTTGATCAACCAAACAAAAAAAGTTGTGGTCAAAAAACTGTCACCAATCGGCATTTTTTTAATTTAAAATGTTATTATAATAATTTTACCAAAAATTTTTTTTATTTTTATAATTTTTTTTAAATTCGTCTCGTGTTTATTTAAACACAGCAACTTAAAATAGGCAGAGGGTGCAACCAGTGTTTCAGTGCGGGGGTATGGTTTAGTTGGTTACGTGACAGCGAAAAATGCAAAAGGTTCGAATCCTTTCAGTGAAAATGAATTATATAAAATTAAAATCTTAATAATAACGTTCCTATTTAACATTTAATGTCATTTTATACTAAAATACATTTTTTTAAATAAGTTTTTCCCTTTATTTTTCAGTTCTCAAGTTGGGGTATTCGGCCATATAAAACTTTTTTTAAACATTTAAAAAATCAATAAATTTGGTTTTAAAACAAAGATAAGACTTTGTTTAACAATTTGACTAAGATAGATTTTTTTAATCTAAGTTTTTTTTCGAGATAAAGCTTCTCGAAGTTGGACATCAAATATTTAGAGAAATAGCATGCGAAAAAAATAGAGCGAAATAGAAAAAGAGAAAATATTTTATTTATTTCAGTGCCACTGAAACGGCTCTCTAGTTGCAGGTTAAGTTGCTGTGTTTAAATAATATTTTCTTTTTATTTTCTTCAAAATAAATATTTACTAATATTTTTTTAAATTTATTTACAGATATTAAAATAAAAAAATAAAAAATGTTCATTATATTATTAATTATGCCTTTAATTCCCATTCAAGTTTAAAGATTAAATAAGTGGAAATAAAGATTAATTCAAAGTCCAGAAAAAAATTGTGAGAAAATTTTTTATTATTTTTAAATTAAAAAAATTTTTTAAATTCCCTACCCATTGGAGCATGCTGAAAAATCTTGAAAAAATTTTTTTGTAATTTTTCAAAAAAAATTTTCTACCTAGAGGACTTTTAGTAGGGGCTAATAGAACCCTTTAACAGCCTAATAGTACCTTCCCTAATAGAACCCCTTAAAAATTTTTTATATTTACTTTTTTCTTCGGAACTTGGATAGGGATATTCGGGAGAGGTTAGGTGAGATACAGTAATTTGATTTAATTAAACCCCATTGAATTTTTTTTAATTTTTTTCTTTAATTTTAGCAAATTTTTTAACTGAACGTTTTGGAAAAAAACATTCTTTTATTTTACAACATTAGAGTGTTCTCATAACAACTTTTTTTATTTTTTACTTTTCACAATATTCCCGTTAAATCTCCCCTCCCTCCTTGTATTCGGAGATCGCCTAAAATTGATAAAAATAAATAATTTTTTTCTACAAGAAAAAAAGTGAAGTAAAGGACATATCCAAACTTTGATTTAATTACAACACAAAAAAAACACAGAAATTTTTAACTGGGAAAAAGTGATTAATATTAAAACAACTACCCAACTATTTAATTAATTAATTTTATTTTTATTTCTCCGCCTATTTTTTTTATTTTTATTTAAAAATAAAAATATATCGGGATGAACAATCTAAATAATAATTTGTTGAAAGAAGAAGAAAAAGAAATTTCTTCAAATAAAAAGCAGCGTTCATCCTCCTCCGCGCAACAACAACAACAAAATGTTGGAGAAGAATTTAGTAGTGCTAGCGATAGTTGGGAACATGTTTCGTCTGGGGCTTCTGGAGGAGTGAGCTTTTTTAATGAAAATAAATTTTTTTGGGGAAATTTTAGGGGAAAAAAAGGAAGGAAAAATGAACTTTCTGTTTGAAATTTTCAGAATTTTTTTCAGAAATTTTTAGAATTTTTTTTCAGAATTTCTGAAATTTCCAGAATTTTTTAATGAAAATAAATTTTTTTGGGAAATTTTGGGGGAAAAGGGAAGGAAAAAAATTAAAAAATTTTTTTGAAATTTTCAGAATTTTTTCAGAATTTTTTTCAGAAATTTTTAGAAATTTTTTTCAGAATTTCTGAAAATTTCAGAATTTTTTTTTCTGAAAAAAAATTTTTTCCTTTCCCTTTTTTACCCGTTAGCCCAAGATATTAATCACAATCATTCTCTTCTAGAAAATAATATTATTTATTTCGCGTTCCCGCACATTCCTTTAAATAATAATAAAATAATAAATTGTTTTTGCCACCTTCTTTTAAAATGATTTAGTCTCAGAAATAATAATAATTTGACCTTGTATTTTTACTTATTTATTTCTGCAACATTAAATTCTGGTTTATTTTAATATTTGATATGAATAAGATACATTTATGAAAATAATTAGGTAAAATACATTAATTAAAATACAAGGTTGAATTTCTGATTTTTGTATTTTTCTGTAAATTCTGATTTTTGTATTTTTGTTTTGATTTTGTGTTTTCTGATTTTGTATTTCGATTTTCTGATTGCTGTGTTTTTGTTTTATAAATTCTGATTTTTGTATTTTCTTTTAATAATTAAGAAAAATATACAAACTTGAATTTCTGATTTTTGTATTTCTGATTATGTTAATAAAATTCTGATTTTTGTGTTTTTGTTTAGATTTTGTATTTTCTGATTTTGTGTTCTGATTTTCTATTCCGAATTTCTGATTTCTGTGTTTTTGTATTTTAAATTCTGATTTTTGTGTTTTTGTTTAGATTTTGTATTTTCTGATTTTGTGTTCTGATTTTCTATTTCGTATTTCTGATTGCTGTGTGTTTTGTTTTATTAATTCTGATTTTTGTATTTTCTTTTAATAATTAAGAAAAATTCTGATTTGAATTTCTGATTTTTGTGTTTTTTGTGTTTTTATTTGATTTTTACATATCTGGTTTTGTATTTCTGATGATTTTGTATTTTTCTAAATTTTATTCTGATTTATATTTTATTCTCTTATTTAATTCTGATTTTAATAGGTATTTAATTTATTATTCAAATTCTTTCACTTCCCTACGTAATACAAACTCCTTATAATTAGCAGCGTAAAAAACAACTCGCGCAGAAATAATTTGCATTAATTAATAAAAGTTTTTTTGCGTTTTTGACGCAATACAAAAATTATTTCGTTTTTTTTCTTGAAAATTTCATTTTTGCAAAATTAAAAAATTTTTTTAGAAAATTAATTAATTAAAATTGAGATAAGAAGAGATTTTCTCTTGAATAATTAACTAACTCTTTTTTCTAAGGTTGTTACTAAAAATAAATAAAAATTAAATTTAATTTCCTAAACTTGCTGATCGTTTGTTTAGATAAAATAATAAATCAAAGCAGAAAAAAAAATAAAAAAATTAATCTTTTACAAAAATTAAAACAAGGTGTTTGATGAAATCAAAAATAAATAAAATTAATTTTATTTCAAAAAAGGAAACCTTGTATTTTTTAAAAATTACTAAATATTTATTTTATTGAAAAGAAAAATATAAATTAATTAGTTAAATAAATACTTAAAATAGAGAAAATGTATTTTATCTGCAGAAATAATTTTGTGTTTTTGTATTTTTATTTCTGATTTTTAAAAGGTTATTCTGATCTTATATTTTTCGCTAGTAGTAATTCTGATTTTATTTTATTCTGATTTTTGTGTTTTTGATTTGATTTTATTGTCTTGTATTTTCGTTTGTTTCTGATTTTTTATTTTATTCTGATTTTTGTGTTTTTGATTTGATTTTATTGTCTTGTATTTTCATTTGTTTCTGATTTTTATTCTATTCTAATTTTTGTATTTTTGATTTTTGTATTTTCTAGGTTTGTGTTTTCCAAGTTTATTATTTTATTCTGGTTTTAATTAAGTTTATTATGCTCTTGTATTTTATAATAATTCTGGTTGTATTTTCATATTGTATTTTTATTTGCTGTTGGTTTTCTTCTGTATTTTTTAAGTGTGTTTTCTTATTCTGATTTCATATTTAATTCTGATTTCAAATTTAATTTTGAATTAAATATGTATAATCTCCCTTACCATTTAAATTATTTTAACAGTTGTATTTTCTATTTTTAAATTATTTTCGCGCGTCCAAAAAATTGTCCCCAATTTTTTCTGTTTTTAATTTTATTTTAAAATTTACGTAATTATACCTATTTAAATTTTGTTGTTTTTAAAAATTTATTTGACAAATTCTTTTTTTCTTAATTTATTTTTTAAAGAATTTTCTCCCAAAAAAATTATTTTTAATTACCTAATTTAAATTTTTTCTACCAAAAAAGTCAAACGATTTAATAATGCCAAGTGGAACAGATGACAATAGTGCAGGACCTGCTTCGGATACAGGCAATCCTCAACGTCCTTTTTGGCGTGATCAGGAAGAAATTGTTATTAGTGGTGTTAGTGGCCGATTTCCGAGAAGTGATGATATGGAGGTAGGGCAAAGAGAAAAATTTTTTGAGAATTTTTTGGAATTTTTTTGAATTTTTTAAAAAATATTGGAAAATTTTTTTTAAAAAATTTTTTCGAATTTTTGAATCTTAATGATAATTTTACTCAATTTTTAAAGCAATTTGGCGATTTACTTTTGGCTGGTGAAGATTTGGTAACAGAAGATGACCTTAGATGGCCACCTGGTTAATTTAAAAATTTGAAAAAAATCTAAAGATTTTTAGGCCTTTATGGACTTCCAAAACGTCACGGAAAACTCAAAGAATTAAATAAATTTGATGCTCAGTTTTTTAGTGTTACACCAAAACAGGCAAATTATATGGACCCACAAGTGAGAATATTGTTGGAAGTGGCTTTTGAAGCAATGTTGGATGCTGGTATGGGGATTTTTAGTGTCTAAAATTGTTTAAAAATCTTAGAAAATTTCAAAAAAATTTTTAAAAATTTTTAAAATCTCAAAAATTCCCCAAACACAGGCGTAAACCCCGTCGAACTTCGTGGCTCCCGTACTGGAGTATTCGTTGGCTGTTCAGCCTCAGAAACTGGCGGTGCCTTAACACAAGATCCAGATATCGTAACAGGATATACCTTAACTGGTTGTGTCCGTTCAATGTTTTCAAATCGACTATCTTTTGCTTTCGACCTTCGTGGACCTTCTTTTTCTGTTGATACTGCTTGTTCTTCTTCTCTTTTGGCTATGCAGTTAGCTATTGATGCTATTAGACAGGAACAATGTGACGCTGCTATTGTTGCTGGTTAGTTTTTTTGATTTTAAGGAAGAATTAATTGGTTTGGGTTATTAATTTGAATTTAAAAAATTTGCCGTTATTTTGGCGTTAAAATTTAATTTTTGGCGTTTTGTCATTTTTGATAAAATTTATTTTTGAATTTTTGTTGGCTGGTTTCGGCTTGTTTTTCGAACTGTTTTCAACTGTTTTCGACTTGTTTTCGACTTTTTTTGAATCAGAAATTAGGTTTATATGAAAAATTTCATTGTGACCAAGATTTTTGATTTTTTTCTTTGAAATGTTCCGCGGAATCTTAAATTTTTATTTAATTTACTACATTAATTTTCTTTATTAATTTTCTTTAATTCTACAGGTGCTCATCTAACATTAACACCTACAGCAGCTTTACAATTCCTCAAATTAGGAATGTTAAGTCCAGCAGGTTCATGCCGTTCTTTTGACCAATCTGGAGATGGTTATTGCCGAACTGAAGGAATTGCAGCTATTTTAATTCAACGCCGCTCTGTTGCAAAAAGAATTTATGCTAGTGTTGTGCATTCTAAAAGCAATACTGATGGATACAAAGAACAAGGAATTACTTTCCCTGGAGGGGATAGACAAGCAGTTTTGTTGGAAGAAGTTTATCGTGAGGCTGAATTGGATCCTTCTACCGTCGCTTATGTGGAAACTCACGGAACTGGAACTAAAGTTGGAGATCCACAAGAGGCTTATGCTATTACACAAACATTTTGTCAGAACAGGTTGGGGGATTTTTATAAAAAAAGGCTGACAAGGGACCCATTCGGACTGTATTTTGTTTTTTGTCATCGTGAGAGCACTTAGCTCCAAAAATACCCAATTTTGACGGCCCATAACTATCCGAAAATGGCTTCGAATGAAAAAAAGGCAATAGGAAAACCAAAATAATATATGTAAAATTGATCTCGGTTTCGGTCGGTCCATTGTTAGATGTGAGATTGACATTTATTTTATGAATCTTAAAGATTTTTTTAAATTTTCCTTGAATTTTTAGAACATCTCCGTTGTTGATAGGCTCAGTTAAATCAAACATGGGACACGCTGAACCAGCTTCTGGCCTCTGCTCTTTAGCTAAAGTATTTTTAAATATTTTCCCAAAAATTCATCTTTACTTTTTAGATAATTATCGCAATCCACAGAAATGTTATTCCACCAAATTTGCATTTTAACGAGCCAAACGAATATATTGAAGGATTAAAAGACGGTTCATTAAAAGTTGTAACAGAAAAAACAATTTTCCCTTCTGGTTCATTTATTGGAGTTAATTCTTTTGGTTTTGGTGGTTCAAATACTCATTTAATATTAAAAGCTCCACAACTCACAAAATGTGAAGAAACGCCTGCAGAACAACTCAAATTCCCTAGACTGTTATTTTATGCTGGTAGAACAAAAGAAGCGTTGGAAAATATTTTTGTACGAATAAAAGATGAGCATAGCAAAAATAGCTTTCTTCATCAATTTATTGCTGCACAGGTAAATAAAAAATTTTTTTTAACTTTAAAAAATAATCAGAAAAAATACCAAGCGGTGGAATCTCTGTGGTTGTGTTTAACAATCCACATTTTTGTATTTCCGTGTCTTTCGAGGGGCATCCAACGCGAAATGCCAAACTGAAATGATAACACATAAGTAGGTTCAAATCATTGGGAAGGTTACCACATTCTAGTATTTTGACGTCTTTTGGGGGTTTGGTATTTCGGCGTTTTATATTACGGCAACATACCATTTAAAAATTTTCACTTAAAAAATTTATTTCGAACATTTTTTTCTAAGGCTGACCTTCCATCCAAAGACGCTCCATTTCGTGGATGGATAATTCTCGATAATAAAGAAGAAAAATTAAAAGAAGAAAAAACAGCAACAGAAACAACACCAACATGGAAACAAAATCCATTTAATGTCCAAAAAGTAGCAATAACAGAGCCTAGACCAATATGGTTTATTTATTCTGGAATGGGAAGTCAATGGCCTGGAATGGGACAAAAATTGATGGAAATACCTTTATTTGATAATTCGTTAAAAGAATCGTCAGAAACTTTGAAGGAATTTGGATTAGATGTTTATGGAATGCTGAAAAATAGTGACCCTGAGCAATACAAAAATACGCTAAATTGTATGTTGGCTATCACTTCTATACAGGTTATTTTATTTTTTATTTATGGAAGAATTAGGAATGTAAAACATGGGATTTTTTGTCTCTTGATGACCTCATACAGTTAAGACTCACTTTAAGATATTTCCTTAGGGATCAAAAATTCTAAAAGTTAGCTCATAATAGGAGTACTTAATATTGAAGTCCGCTGCCCAGAGACTTACCAAATTTGAATAAATCTCAGTAGGAACCTAAGTTTGGCGGTTCTACAATTTAGATTCAGTTTTATCCATTCAAATTAATTAAATTAATTTTTTTAGATAGCCCTAACCGATTTACTCTATGCTATCGACATTCAACCAGATGGCATCTTGGGCCATTCCACGGGAGAAATGGGTTGTGGTTATGCAGATGGAGCACTTACAAGAGCACAAACAATGCGTTTGGCTTATTACAGAGGAGCTACAATAATGGCTAAACGAGAAAAAATGCGAGGAGCAATGGCAGCTGTTGGTTTGAGTTGGGAAGAGGCACAAAAAAGATGTCCTGAAGGTGTTGTCCCAGCTTGCCATAATGGTGCTGATTCTGTTACAATTTCTGGAGATGCTGAAAAGGTTTAGAATTTGATATTTTTGAAAAGGGAATTCTTGTAGAAATAGGTCTGGGAGAAGGGATACATTTTAGGAAAGATTTTCTAAAAACTTTTAGACAGGATTAGGAGGATAATAAGCTTGTAAGAAAATTTTCCTGTTCAAATTTTACCCAAAAAAGGTTTTAAAAATTAATTTCCCTCGTAAGAATTCCCTCAAAATTCCTTAAAAATTATCTCTAAAAAATTATTTTTCAACAGATTGCTGAATTTTGTGCTCAATTACAAAAAGAAGAAATTTTCGCCAAACAAGTAGATTCATCAGGAATTCCATTCCATTCACCAGTAATGCAATTAGTACGTGAAGAAATGTTGACATCAATGCGTTCTGTTGTGCCCGAACCAAAACCTCGTTCATTAAAATGGATTAGCTCGTCAATTCCAGAAAGTCAATGGGATGAAGATTTAGCTCTTCATTGTTCTGCCGATTATCATGTAAATAATGCCTGTTCTCCAGTACTTTTTTATGAAGCTTTACAAAAAATTCCACCAAATGCTATAACGATTGAAATTGCTCCACATGCATTAATGCAAGCAATTTTACGTCGTTCTTTACAAAAAACGTGTGTTAATGTTGGATTAATGAACAGTAAAGCTGAAGAAGAATTACCAGCATTCCTTCAAAATTTGGGAAAAATTTATCAAGCTGGAGCATCTGTGCATGTTGAAAAACTTTATCCACAAGTGCCAATGCCTGTACCGTTGGATACTCCAATGATTAGTCCTTGGTGGAAATGGGATCACAGTCAAGTTTGTTTTTGAATATGTACGATTTTTAAAGGGGAATGTTAGGTAGGTTGGGCCAAACACCCTATTTTCGACTTTCCGAGAAGAATCTCTCGATTGAAGCATTCCCAACATTTAACTAATGATTAGTAGGGAACTTTTAGAGCTCCTTTAAGACATCATTGGGGGTCAAAAAATTTTCTAAATTTAAGGATTGGCCTGTAATTGACGGCAGATTGGCAGGTAGCGGTGGAAGCGGTGCTGTACCAGCCAGTGCTTCTTATACAATTGACCCATTCTCTGCTGATTCGAAAGAAACATTCTTGCTAGGTGAGTTATTTTACATAATTATTACAACATTTAAAAAGCCTAGGTTTGACTCTTTAAATGAATTTTTTCCTTTAAGATCACGTTATTGATGGCCGTGTATTATATCCATTTACTGGTTATATGATATTAGCCTGGAAAACTTTGTGTAAACTAAAAGGCCTCGATCATCTCAAAACTGCAGTAATATTTGAGGACATAAATGTTTACAATGCAACAATATTATCAAAACCAATACGTTTGGATGTTGTAATAAGCCCAGGACATGGACAATTTGAAATTTTGGAAGGAGATCAATTAGCCTCAAGTGGAAGAATTTACATTCCAGACGAAAAACAAGAATTTTACTACAACAATTTAAAAGATATTAAAACATCTGAAATTGCTGATAGAACAGAATTGGATACTGACGATGCTTACAAAGAATTTTTACTTCGAGGTTATGAATATGGACAGGCTTTTAGAGGTTTGAATTTTTCTGAAAAAATTTTTTAGAAAAATTTTATTTTTTTCATTTAAAGGAATTTATCGTGCTTGTAATAGCGGTGAACGTGGTACTCTTTATTGGACTGGGAATTGGGTAACCTTTTTGGATTCTTTGCTCCAAACTGCTTTGCTTGCTGAACGTGCAGATACTTTACGACTTCCTACTCGTGTGAGATATCTTCGAATTGATCCTGTTCGACATTTGGAATGTATTGAAGAGAAAGGTTTCTCTTTTAAATGAAATAATTTTTAGTGATATTGAACCGGACAGAGTCCAGGACATGGACAATTTGACTCTGTCAGGTTCAATGTCCTGGACTTTGTCAGGTTCAATATACTAATTTAAAAAATTTTTAAGCAAAAAAAATCGGGAAATAGGGTATAATTAAAGTCTATTTTTATAATGTCTTTCGGTCAGAACTTGCATATTTTTGGAATCATAAAGGGAAATGACTAAAAAAATGTCTTGACCACTCAAAACTTTTTTTCTTATGAAAAAATTTTTCTTTCATTTCTAGATGGAATCCAAGTAGTTCAATTACGAAATGATATTCCCACAAATGGATGTATTGCTGGAGGTGTGGAATGTTGTGAATTAACAGCGTATACCATACAACGAAGACCACAACCTTCAGGACAATTATTTTTAGAAAAACTGTATTTTGTTAAACATTTGGATGACAAGTTTGTTTTCCTAGAAAATTTTTATTTTTTAAACGTAATTTTAAAGTGCATTAAATGATTTTCCAAAAGAAAAAGAAATTTTGAATGAATATCGTCAATTACTTCATTCAACATTATTTAATGGTTTAAGTAAATGGAATGAATTTGGGTTGTTTAATAAAATTACAAATGGCGAACAATTTGGAAGGGCTTTGGAAATGCTTAAAAATCGACATACTCAAATTGAAATAGAAGAGGAAATTCGAAATAAATTTATTGAGGATTCAAAGTATTTTTTGGGGAATTTTTAAAAATTTTGGGAAATCTAAAATTTTAGGTGTACACTAATAAATGCTTTTGTTGAACTTTTTGCAACAGATTTGAATGAATTTGCAGACAATACTTTAGGATTTGAGCAAACTGTAGTTAAAAAAATGACAAATATTTACAAAGCTTTGGATAATGATCGTTATTGGGCACATTGTTTATTGAATGATAGATTTACAAAAACTGCACAGGTAAGGGAAAAAATTTGATTTTTTTTCGAATTTTATTGTGAACGTGAAGTTCAAAAAAATTTTAATCAAAAAATTTGGGGGAAAATAAACAAGGGCGTAGCTAGGGGGTCGATTACAGGGACCCAGATGCCCCCCTGGCTATGCCTTTGAAATATTATTTAAATAATTGCCTCCAATTTGATATTAAAATATTCTTTTTTAGGACGTTTGTTTTGAAAATACTGCTGGCCATCGTAAAAAGACTTGTTCTATTGAGATTACCTCTACTGATGTTCTCAAACATTGGTTTATTTTATTTTTAATTTTTTTGGACTTTTTTTAAAAATTATTTTTTAAAGCATTAATGCAAGTCTCTCTCACCCATTATTAGAAATTGAATGGACTTGTATAGGCCCAAATGTTGATAATTTGGATGAAACAACTCTTCAACAATTAAGTGCTTCTAAATTTCAAATTGATTTGGAGGTTTTTTTTATTTTAAATTTTTTTGAAAATTTTCTTAAAGGCTGGCGAAGATGGAAAAGAATTAAAATTGCCTCAAGAATGTCGTCAATTTGATTTTCTCTTCCTCAATAGAGTACTTTGGCGTAAATCACATCCAGTTCAATTCCTTCAACGTTGCTCCCAATTATTGAAAGATAATGGATTAATTATAATTAATGAACTTACAAAGGATTATGAAATTGGTTAGTTTATTTTTGAGTGTTTTATAAAAGGGAAATTGTTTTCTTTTTAAAGCTCTTCTCTGTGATGCTCTCCAAGGCGTTGATTTTGGTAAAGTAGAAGGAAATTCATATCAACGCATTTATGGTGTTTACCTTGATCGTGATACACTTGAAAAAGTTTTTAGTGAAGCAGGATTTCGTGTTTGTGTTAGACAGGTTTATTTTTTGATGTTGTATTAACCTCTTTATATCAGTATTTTTTAGACTGACCCAAATGTCCCAACAACAACTTTTGTACTTCGTAAAATACCCCAACAACCAAGGGATCCAGTAATTGTTGATGTAGATGATATTCAAGAATTTACATGGATTGAAAAACTCAAAAAAGTGATTGAAGAACGTTTAAATGAACCTGACTATAAAACTGTTTGGTATATAATTTTTAATTTTTTGAAAAAATTTTGTTGTTATTTAAAGGATGACAAGTACAAGAGTCCGAAACAACGGGACTTTAGGCCTTTCTCTCTGTTTTGTAGAAGAAAATTTAAAATACAATCGGTTCCGCAACCTTGTCGATATTAGCCTTCGTCCAGAAAATCGAAATGGTCCTCCTTGTATTGATATGGAAAGTGAAGAAGTTAAAGAAATTTTGGAAGCTGATTTGCATGCAAATAATTATAGAGATGGGAATTGGGGTTCTGTTAGGCATATGGTTGTTAAAGAAGGTAAAAGGGAGTTCTAACCCAAAAATTAATTTAAAAAAATAATTTTTCTAGAAGAAGCCCACAGCTACAAAGAAGTTGAACATGCATTTATCAACACTCTAGTTCGCGCTGATGTCTCAAGTTTAACTTGGGTAGAAAGCGGCAATCAATATTTCAATGAAATGCAAGCATATTTACCTGATCATCAAAAACAACAACTCGTTTTATGTTCTGTTTACTATGCTGCTCTAAACTTTCGTGACGTTATGTTGGCATATGGACGTCTTCCACCTGATGCTATACCTGGACAATTTGCTGATCGTGAATGCCTTTTAGGAATGGAATTTGCTGGTCGTTTACAAAATGGAAAAAGAGTTATGGGAATTTTGCCAGCTCAAGCTTTGGCAACTTCTGTTGCTTGTCATAACGATTTCTTTTGGGAAGTGCCAGAAGAATGGTCCCTTCAAGATGCTGCTACTGTACCTGTTGCTTTTGCAACTGCTTATTATGCACTGGTTATGCGTGGAAGAATTTCTAAAGGAGACAAGGTTATTTTTCTTTAAAATAATATTTTGGAGGGGAAGGAAGGAGTTTTGTTAAAGTTGGGCGAAGTTTTTCTTGTTCAAAATTTTGGGAAAAAATATTTTTGAAATTAAAAAAAACTCATTTTTAAGGTGCTTATTCACAGTGGTACAGGAGGTGTTGGACAAGCAGCAATTCGAATAGCATTAGAATATGGCTGTGAAGTATTTACAACAGTTAGCAATAAAGATAAACGTGAATTTCTTCAACAACGTTTTCCTCAATTAAAAGATCATCACTTTGCAAATTCTCGAACAACAGATTTTGAACAACATATACGAAGACAAACATTTGGTAGAGGTGTCGATGTTGTATTAAATTCTTTGGCACATGAAATGTTGAGAGCATCATTACGTTGTTTGGCACAACATGGGCGTTTTCTCGAAATTGGGAAAGTTGATTTGTCGCAAAATTCTTCTTTGGGAATGTCTCTATTTTTGAAGAATGTTACTTTGTATGTTTGCTTTTTTGAAAAATTTTTTTAAATAAAATACCATAAATGTTCTAATATAAGCCCTGGGCTTCTATCTTTCATGTCTCATTGTGTGGGGTTCTAATAGGGCATGTGCTTATATTGGAGATGGGCTCTTATTAGAATTTTTACGATATTACTTTAAAGTCATGGAATTCTTCTTGATGCAATAATGGATCAATCTGTTGGACGTAAATCAGAATGGCAAGAATGTGCAAAACTTTTTGAAGATGGAATACGTAAAGGTGTTGTACAACCTATTAGTTCGACTGTTTTTGCTTCTGATAAGTGTGAAGAAGCTTTCAGGTTTTTTTTAAATTTTTTCATCAAAATCAAAAAAATTTTTTCTATTAAAGATACATGTCTGCTGGAAAACATAAAGGAAAAGTTTTAATTCAAATTCGTGAAGAAGAAGAAAATCGTTTGGCATTACCTTCAAAAATGTTTGTACGTGCAGTTTGTCGAACATTATGTAATCCACAATATGTTTATTTAATTACTGGTGGATTAGGAGGTTTTGGGTTAGAATTGGCTCAATGGTTAATAAATAGAGGAGCTAGAAAATTAGTTTTAACATCAAGAAAGGGAATTAAAACTGGTTATCAAGCAAGATGTGTACATTTTTGGAGAAGAATGCATGTTCAAATTTTGGTTTCTACACAAGATATTGTTCATAAAGTAAATTATTTTTGATTGAAAATTGAATTTTTTAACTCAAAATTTTCAGGAGGATGCTCACGAACTTATTCGTGAATGTGAAGTTTTGGGACCTATAGGAGGAGTTTTTCATTTGGCAATGGTTTTGCGTGACTGTCTTTTTGAAAACCAAACTGTCGAAAATTTTAAAGATGCTGCTCAAGCAAAATATTTTGGAACAATGAATTTAGATGAAGCAACAAGAAAATGTACAAATTTGCGTTGGTTTGTAGTTTTTTCAAGTATAACATCTGGTAGAGGAAATGCTGGACAAACAAATTATGGATGGTCAAATTCTACAATGGAAAGAATTATTGAACAAAGACGTTTTGATGGTTTTCCAGGAATTGCAATACAATGGGGAGCTATTGGGGATGTTGGTGTAATTCTTGAACATATGGGTGATAATAATACTGTTGTTGGTGGAACTTTGCCTCAACGAATTCCAAGTTGTCTTTCTTCATTGGATCTCTTTTTAGCTTGGAATCATCCAATTGTTTCGAGGTTTTTAAAGATTATTTTTAAAGATAGGGGTTATTAGGAGGGTTCTTGTAGTGGAAAAATGGTTAATTTTGCTGGTATATCGAAGAAGCATTTCAAATTCCAAGCCATTTTTCGATTCATGACTTTTTGAGTTATTAACTAATTCGGAAACTGGGCTTGTACATTAATTGTCCCTCTTGGGTAGGTCGATACGAGCATCATATATAAAATGATGTAGACGGCTAAGGATCCAAACTTCGAGTTTGTCCCACGAACTTCTCAATCATCGCCCATCCTTCAGTTAGCAAGGGTTATCCAGGGGTCGGATTTCAGTGTCAATTCAGGGGCCGGATTTCAATAGGGGGCTATAATGAGGTTGCTAGTTAGTGTTTAGTTCTGGTCCATTCCTATTATTTAATAAAATTTGAATTAATTTTTTTCTAGTTATATCAAAGCAGACACTAGCGGCAAAAAACAACAATCCGGCGGTAATTTACTCCAAACAATATCTCACATTCTTGGAGTTAACGACATTTCTCAATTAAATCCTGATGCAAATTTGGGTGATCTCGGTTTAGATTCTTTAATGGGTGTTGAAATTAAACAAGCGTTAGAAAGAGATTATGACATAACTTTGTCAATGAAGGAAATTCGAACCTTAACATTAAATAAATTAATGAAAATGGCTGAAGGTGGAGGAAGTGGTGCTGCTGGAAGTGCTGCATTACAAGGAGATGGAGAACTACAATTTAGACGTGATGGGGAACAATTGGCTTTGGAAAGTTCTGTTAAAGTTTTGGAAGAACAATTGGGAGCATTATTCAAATTGAGGGTAGATGTTAATGATTTGGATCCAGTTGATATTGTTGTTAAATGCAATAAAGTTGAAGAAGGACCGATTACGTTCTTTGTGAGTTTTTTTTTAAAAGTTAATAGGTGTTGTGGACTAATAAAATGTGTCCAAAAATATGACAATTGTCAAAAAAATTTTTGACAGTTGTCAAAATTAATGACAAGTGTCAAAAAAATTTTTGACATATGTCAATTTTTTTTGACACATGTCAAAATAAGCAGGGTTTTTTTGAAATTTTTTGAGTACAAAATTTTTTCCTTTAAAGATGCATCCAATCGAAGGAATTGCTTCCCCATTATCACGTGTCGCCTCCAAGTGCAACTTCCCAGCTTATTGTCTCCAATTTACTCGAAACGTTCCCAACGACAGCATTGAAACAGTAGCAGGAATTTACATAAAAGAAATGAGAAGAATACAACCAGTAGGACCCTATAGAATAATTGGGTATTCGTATGGGGCTTGTATTGGCTTTGAAATTGCTACGCAACTTCAACAAAGTGATGGAATTGATAGTGTTGAAAAATTAATTTTATTGGATGGTTCACATCTTTATATGCAGACTTATAGAAATGTAAGGAGAGAATTTTAAAAAAAATTTCTGAAAATTTTTTGAAAAAAATTTTTTTTTTTATTTTTTGAAATTTTTTGATAAAAAATATTTTGGAAAAATTTTTGAAAAAAAATTTTTTTCCAGGTCTACCGCCGTGCTTTTAATGTTACTGGAGACACACTCGTAAACAATCCATTATTTGAATCAGAAATTATGTGCGCAATGACTTTACGTTTTGCTAATGTTGACTACAAAAAATTCCGTGTTGAATTGATCCAATTAAGCACATTTAGAGAACGTCTCCAAAAAGTTGTTGATACTGTGATGAATACTGGACTGTTCCAAATGCCTGATACTGTTGCTTTTGCATGTGAAGCTATGCGATATAAATTTTTGATGGCTGATAAGTAAGATTAGAAAAAATTTTTTAATTTTGCGGGCATATTTTTTGCTGGTTTACAAAAATATTTGACAAATGTCAAAGTTGACAATTGTCAAAAATTTTAGACATATGTCAAAATTTTTTTTAAAAATTTCTATTTTTATTAATTTAGGTACAAGCCAAAAGAAAAATTCAAAGGCCACATAACGCTAATTAGAGCTGAACAAGGCGCAGCTCGAGAAGAAGATGTAGGAAAAGACTATGGAATTAGCCAGGTTTATTTTATTTTTAAGAATTTAATTTTTGTTTTTAATTTAAAGGTCTCTGAATCTTCAAATGTTTATTTGGTTAGTGGTGATCACGATTCAATTGTTCAAGGAAGAAAACATGTTGACACAGCAGCCATCATAAATGCTGTAATTCTTGATCAACCTATCCCCGATCCACTTCCATCGGTTTCATCATCAAAGGAACAAAGAGGAACAAGAAAATCGGCAAATAAATGAGGAGGAGAAGTAGGAGGTTTATTTTCAAATAAGTAGAGCAACGAAATTTAAAAAATAAAATTAAAGTCAAAATTTTGAAAAAAATGCCATTTTAGAATTTAAAAATCCTTCCTTTCCAATTTTCAATTTTATTTTAAATTTTTTTCCAAAATTTTGTTTTTCCCTATTTTCTAAATATTTTCCAAAAAAAGAACAGGATTTTGTGCATTTTCTTGCCAAGATTTTGAAAAGGCTAGGGATTTTTAAGAACTCCAATTTCGATGACTCAAAGAAGAATTCGTGTTTTTTGCTTTACCACTAATTCCCCTCTTACCTAATTATTATATTAATAATTATAAATATTTTTTTTTAAATAATCACCCCACCGCCAAACAATTTTTTCCCTAATTTTTAAATAATAATTTTTTGTAAAATCGTCTTCATTTTTTCTTGTTGCCTTAAAATTTTTGTAAAATAGAGCCTTGAAAAAATTTATTTTTCTGAGAGAAAATTTTTTAAGAAGGCTAGGGATTTTTAAGAACTCCAATTTCGATGACTCAAAGGAGAATTATCAAGGAGAGGAATTTTCCAAGGATTTTCAAGGAGTCCAATTTTTTTCGAATTTTTAAGAACTCAGATTTCGAGGACTCAAAGGAACTCCTTGGGGTCTCTAAGGATTTTCAACAAGTCCAACTTTTTTTTCGTGTGATGTTTCCTTCAAAATTCCGTCAAAATAAAGGCTCTATTTTATATAAAAACACTGCATTTATTATTTTTTTTAAAAATATTTTGTGAAAATTATACTATTTGCTCCATAATTTCTTTTTTTTCTTCCAAATAGATTTTTCTAAATTTTTTAAATTAAATACACCACAGAGATTTGTTATAAATGTGCATTCAACACATATATAAACCGGCCGCAAAATTTCTATATTATTAACTAATGTTGAGAAATTCACTTATTTTATATATTTTTTTCCTATGAAAGTTTCTACTAGAAATTTTTTTTAATTAAATAAAATTTGAATTTTTTTGTAATTTTTTGTGTTTTAAAGTTAATTTTAAGACAAAGTAAATTTTATATATAAATTTATTTTAAGGGTTTTTCTTTATTAAAAAGTGAAGAAAATGTTTTTTTCACTTCATTTTAAGTGAATCAAGGAGAGGAGTGAAGGGGAATCAGGGGAAGAAGAATCAAGGAAGAGGGGAGAAGAATCAGGGAGGGAGGAGGAGGGGATGGTATCCGGAGATTCGGACGGATATCAGAGGATTAAGAAGATAAAATGGATTTCAGGGCTCAATCGTGGGTACTCAATTGAACTTTTCAGATTTTGTATTTTACCACTTTGACATTTCTCTTTGAAAAAAAAAACGCGGAATTATTCCCTTCAAATTTTGTCAAAATGACGCTGACGGCGATTTTTGTTTTTTTCTTTTGTTTTCTTCCGTCTTAATTTTTGAAATTTTTCGCCTTATTTTTTAGATTTTAAGAATTTTTTACAGAATGGAAACTAAAACTCCACTTAAACTTTCTGCTTCATGTATTGAAAATTGTTTGCGAATTAAAGCTACTGATGACAAATTAATTAAATCGGAAAGCAAACAAAGTTAGTTTATTTTTTATTTCTTTGAATTTGTAAAAATTTATAGTTCTAGTTGATGCAATTAATTTTGTAGAGAACGTCAAAATTTTACAACTTAATGAATTGCTCAAAAACGAAGGAGGACATTACATCCCAAGCTTGGAAGATATTCAAGAGGATATTAGAAAAAACTTGGAAGCCCTCAAGCTACGAATAATGAAAAGTGATTTTCAAATTCCTGAAATGATTTCAAATAAACCGGTCAAAAAACAAGGTTTTTTGAATTTTTTTTGTTTTCTAAAAATAATTATTTTAGGTATGTGGATACAGGAAAAACCTATTTACATTGCTCAACGGAAGCATAACAATCCAATTGGGAGAGATGATTTTCCTAAAAGTATTTTTTTGTTTTAAACCCAGAAAAATTGAAAAAGTCCGCTCATTTTTTGAAAAAATTTTTTTTTGTATTTGCGGACAAAACTTGCGGACAATTGTAAAAAAATTTTTTTAAAGGAACTCGTGGATCTTTTTGTTATATTTGTGGTATCAAAAGTCTTGGAATGCTAAAATGTGCCTCTCCTAGTTGCTTTGTCCATTTTCATTATGAATGTGCTAAAAGTACAAACACTGGTGGATATACCTTTGAATCAATGAGAAGAAATAGTAAATTATATTGTTCACTACATCATTGTACAGCTTGTTTTGCTGATCATAATAGGACTAGATGTTTTAATGGTTGGCTATTTTTTGGGAATTTTTGAGGTTTTCCCAAATTTTTAGGTAAATTATTTGCGTGTGATCAGTGTGAACTTGCCTGGCATGAGGACTGCATACCTGGTAATTTTATAACTATTAAGATTCGCTTGAAGAGTTAATTTCAGGTGGATGTGAAATTGATGAAAAAGGCAAAATCATATGCCCTCGTCATGTAATTTTTGATGATGCAACAAATCTCCATTTGCAACATTGTGCTGATTGTCAACAGGGACCGCTTCAAGGAGGTTGTTAAAGACTTAATTTTTAATATTTTGGCAGGTTTTGGTTTTTGCGGTCTGAAACAAGGTAAAAAACCGCCCGAAACCCGCCATTTTTTTGTACCGGGTACCCGAAAAAAAAGTTTTCCAACCCGTGACCCGAAATGAAAACGCTCCAACCCGTACCCGAGGATTTATTGTACCCGCGGCAACACTGGTCCGAAAACTTCTTGCTAATTAATTAACCTTTATTTTAAGAAAAACTCGTAAAATGCACAAAATGTTTCCGTTCGATGCATTTTAAATGTTATAGCAGGCCAAAAAGAGATTACGTTATGGATACATCTGAAGAAAGGGAAATTGCAACTTGTCATTGGTGTGATATGTTTGATTTTGTTCGTTACAATGAATATGCTATGGCCAGATTTTCTAGACAGTTAACACAATTTTTTTAATTTTTCTTTAATTTTTTAATTTTAGAAAATGGTATCCTTGTCAAATTATAAAAAATGATGAATTTCCAATTAAAAGTCCTCAACTTGGCGCTGTTGGCTATCTTTGTGTTAAATGGTTTATTTTTTGAATTTTAATATTTTTGACTTCCGTAAATATTTTAGGCTTCCATACAGAGGCAAAATTTATTATAATATACTTTCGCATAATCGAGTGATTACAATGACTCACAGTGATTATTTTTATATTACTGAAGCTAGTAAATCTGATATTTTTGCAGGTTTTTCTTAAATTTTATTTTTTAATTTTTTCCCTTCTAAATTTTAGAGTGGACATCAGCACAAGAATTTATGCTTAAAAATAGTTTAACTCAACGGCCATTAAAAACTGATCAAATCCCAGATAAATTATTTAGTAATGGTGAGAAAATTGTCAAACAATTGAATGTAAGGATTTTTGAATTTTTGCTTTTTTAAATTTTTTTAGCAGAACAAATACTCTAAATCTGAATTAAAAATGCCGCGGGATCGTCTATTTGGTAGGGACAATTGTAAATGTCCTAGCGATGCAACAGACAGATGTGGGCCTTCTTCGAAATGCATAAATCGAGCATTGAACATGGAATGTCCAAAGGTCAGTTTTTAAGTAAAATTTAATTGGTTGGCAGCGATTATTTTTATATTACTGTAGGGTAATTATATTACTGTAGGGTAATCAAGCAGTTAACGGTACTAAATAAGTACCGTTAACTGCTTGATGACGAAACTTACGCTTATAAGATGACCACAATGATTTTATATTCCGTGTATGTATATCTGGGTCGTCAACATTAACAAAGTTTTTCGAATAATTAACGGTTGTTCGAATGATTATCAATCATGTTAAAAAAATTTTAGTTGCTCCATATTGGTTATTGAATGATGTAAATAAATTTTTAATGATTTCTCATACATAAATATTACTCGTAATACTTTTTAATACATGCCGTATGAAAAATAAAGGAGAAAGGGGAGGAAAAATGAAAAAATGGTAAGGAAAAAAGGGGGGCACAAAGAGTAGGGTATACAAAATGAAGAATTACCGAAGTTTGTCTAATATAGGCGTGAAAATTTAAAATAATTTTTTAGGATTGTAATGAACTACCAAACAAACCATGCAACAACAGACGCATTAGTGAAGGAAAAAATTGTATTCAAGTAAAAATTGAATATTTTCATGGAAAAGGATATGGAGCAATTTCAATGGAGGATATACCAGCGGTATAAAAAATTTCTTTGAGGTTAAAAAATATACTTTTTAGGGAGGATTTGTGGGTGAATATACTGGAGAAGTTATTGATGAAGAAGAAAAACGTCGTCGAATAGATAGAATTGCTTCCTTACAATCAAATGAAGCCCAATATTATATTATGGAATTGGATGATAAAAGGGCTATTGATGCCCAATATTATGGAAATGATATGCGGTTTGGAGTTTTTGACTGATTTTGTATTTTTATTTTTTATAGTTATGTAAATCACTCTTGTAATCCAAATTGTATTATCCAACAATTTCAAAGTGATTTTGATCTCCATTTGGTTTTAATTGCAAAGAGAAATATATCTAAAGGTTGCTTTTAATTTTGGGAAATTTTTTAAATTTTCTTTTGAAGGGGAAGAATTATCTTTTGATTATAATATGCAAAGACAAGGACTTTGGAGTGAAGTACCTTCATGTCATTGTGGTGAAATAAATTGTACGGGTATACTTGCAGCAGATCCAGCAACTCGACGACGTTGGGGTAAGTGGATTTTGAGAATTTTTAACTTTCTTGGTTGCTAGGAGATTTGAAAAATAATTTTATTTTAAGGTGATTTGGATTCCTCGTCTTCCAAAACAACAAAAAATTCAAAATCTCATCGTTCTCTCTCAGTTCCATCAAATGAAAATTCAGTGCAAGATGTCCCCTTATTGGCAAAATCGACAGGATATAAAAGAAAAAAATTGGAAGATACAACGAATAATAAATTAAATTTGAAGAAGGCGAAGGTTTCAAACAGTTAATTTTATTTTTATTGAGTTGAAGGAAAAATTGTGCTTACACACGGAGAGGTTGCGAGGTGTCCGGCCTAAAAACGGTCCTCCAAAGTTAGATCAAAAAACGGGCAAAAACGGCTCAAAATCCTTGCTAGCAAGGGCATATTCTCTATCGAATGAGCCCGGTCTCGACCGTTTTTAGTATTTTTTAGCAACCTCACCGTGTTAATTTATTTTTGCTATCACTATTTTTTATTTTTACCTCATTGCTGTCAGTCTTTAACAAAATATAGTTAACTTTATTTTAATGACATTTTGGTTGTTTCCTTTTTGATACTACTTAACATGGATAAATTAAAAGACGACATTTATATGAAATTCTTTTTGGGCCTTAAAAGCTTTTAATACATTTTTTCAAATCTTTTAATCCTTCATTTTCATGCGGCACATTTAATACATTCTGGCATTTTTTTTTGAAATGTTTACTGCTTAAATTGATGTAAAAATAGTAAAAGATTTATTTTTTTATTTAATCAATAAAAGTTTTCTTCGCTTATATACTTATTTTTAATTTTTATTAAAATTAAATTAAAAAAAATTTTCGAATTTTCAGTCAAATAAAGAAAATAAAAAAAATGAATTTATATACGAGTTTATGTTGATGTTAAATGTCTACACCTTTTAGCGACAAACTTTCTCCAGGTTTTTTCATGAAATGATAATTTAATTTTGGTAAAATTCACAGATACTACTTGCGTGGTTTGTAATGATGTGGCAACTGGAAATCATTATTCTGTTCCCTCCTGTAATGGGTATGTTTTTTAATGTTAATATATTAGGGTTAAAAGAGCCTGCTAAAAGAGCCTGCTTTGGGCCTGCTATTTTCTAGAATATTTTGAATTTGATTTCCTTGAAAATTAGTGTTTAAAGGAAGGTAGCAAGTTAATTTGAGACCAGACTGGGGTTGTTATACGAGAATCGTGCAGGATATCTCAACGATTTCTCGCTAGTCTTTTCAAAATCTTGTCTTAATCCAATTTCTAACGTTAATCTTTGTCGCACAAAATTTTCTTAATTTTTTAGATGCAAAACATTTTTTCGTCGTGCTATTGTGGTATAATTACACATTTTCTAAGAAAATTAATTTTCTAAATTTAGAATAACCGCAACTTTGCATGTATGGGCAATGGAAAATGCATTGTAGATAAAGGGGTTAGATGTGCTTGTAGAGCTTGCCGGTTAGAAAAATGTATAAAAATGGGAATGGATACAAATTGTATTTTTAAGAAGATTTTTTAAAATTAAAAAAATTATTTTTGTAAAGCAATTCAATCAGAAAGGGACAGGATAGGATACACAAAAAGAAAGCGACGAGATAAAACTGAACAAACAAATAAAGATGAAGAACATGAAAAATTGGAAAATCATGCAGAGTATTTTTTTTGAATTTTTTGAAATTAGAAAAAAATTTTTTTAAGAAATGAATTTGACGTTTCTGATGAAGAAGATATTTCTTTTCATGGTTCAATCGATTTACATAATGGAAATAATTTGTCAACTATTCGAGTAAATAATAAAGTTTGTTTGATTACTAAGGTTCATTTTTTAATTTTAAAATATCATTTTCAGACATCCAACTCTTTCGATGGAATTTTGGAACGTTTAACTCAACTAGAAAATAATTTTACTTTACTCTTGAGCCGTGGAGAAATCCATCCGTATGGCACTTTGGAAGAAGCATTGAAAGCACCAAGTATATTTTCAAGGCCAATAAATGTTAAGGTATTGCTTTATTTTTAATTAATTTTAATTTATAATTTTCTTGGGGACATTTTCTACTTTTTTGAAATGACCCCATAATACCAAAACGCTCAAATACCTAACGCCATAATTCGGCGGCATTTCCATAGTTTTGTATTTTGGTGACCTTCGAGAGTTTGGTATATTGACGTTTGGTATTTTGGCGTTTATGGGTTAGATGGAAAAGAAGCCAATTCAACTTTTTCCATCTAATGTCAGTTTAAAATTAAAATATTTATGTTTTAAGCTCTCTGATCCAATTGTAACTCCAAACAAAGACAAACAAAAGATGCCATTTTGGCGTTCACGAATAATAGCTTTATATATTGATTGGGCAAAAACTTTTGCAACATTTCGAAAATTGCCCTATTCTGACAAAGTTGCCCTAATTACAAACCACGCCAGTAGTTATATGATAATGTGTGAAGCATTCCGAACTCCAGAATTAATTCCAGATGAAAAAATTATTGATGGAATTGAACGTATTGCGGAGAAATTGCCGAGGTATTTTTGTAGATTTTTTTACTTTTTTTGGATTTTTAAGAGAATTATTAATATTTCCTCCTCAAAATTTTGAATTTAAAAACAGCACTTCAACAAATTCTAATAATTTGGAAAATTTTGAAACTTCTACTACTACTACTCAACCACCTAAAAAATATTCAAAAATTGTTGAACCAACAGAATCTTGTGATAAATTAGTCAACAATACTCATCTAATATCGCCAAAAAATAATTTTGATCCGGAAAATGAGACTAACAATATAGCAAATAATTTGCCATCAACTTCAACATCCCCTGACAATTTTGCTACATCATCATCAAATAGTCAAATGTCTAACAATATTGATAATATGCATGCGTATGTAAATTTACCGTTTTTTTTTCTTTATCTGCCAAAATGACTTGCACTTATCCGGAGATCCAGGTTCGATGCCTGATGTCAGTTGATGAAGTTTGCTTTAGTGTAGTCCTTGTGTGGCGAGCACTTAAATATGTGGCCGAGTCTTCAATTTTTGATTAATTAATGTATAGGAAGACAATCGCGTGTTTAGTTTTCCTTGAAATCCTAACAGAAAGGTATTGACTTGCCTATTACTGGCAAGTATATAAAATCCTTAGAGCTCTTCCCCTTCCGCATGTAATAAATAGACTGCAGCTGATTTATAATTTATTTACATAAAAAAAGCCAAACTTTCTTTGAGATTAATTTAAAAAACTTTGTATAATTTTTTAATTCTCATACAGATTTTTTGATCCTCGACTAATTCGTGATGGAAATAATTGTCATGAAACAGGTGTTCGTTCTGTTGTAGATGTTCCTCCATCAGTTCATTATCCAGTTAATTTTTTAAAAATAAATATAAAGTTAAAAATATTTTTTTTATTTAGACGGTCGGATGTTTGTCAGGATTAACTCCTGTCATGGCAGCAATGATTGATTGTGTAATGAAACCATTTAGACGATTAAATATTTCAACTACAGGTTTTTTTGAAAATTTTTTTGAGGAATTTTCTCCAAATGAAAATATTTTTTGAAGAATTTGCGGCACTTCAGGCAATTATGTTTTTTGATCCAGGTTTCTTTTTGGGAAGATTTATGGGGAAATTTTTTTTAGACACTGAAAGTTTGGACGCTGCAAGTCAAAGAAATGTTTGTGCGGAACAGAAAAAATGATTTCTGCATTTTATACTCATATATGCCATTTTCATGAAACTTGTGAAGCTCAAAAACGTTTTTCTTCAATTTTGCTTCGAATTCCAATGATTCGTAAAGTTGCAGCAAAGAAAAATGAATCGCTACAAATTATAGGTTTTTTTTAAATTTTTTGAAAAATTATTTTTTTAATTTTTTTAAAGATCTTTTTAATCTGTTTACTCTCAATTCTTTGGTTAAAGAGACTACACTTGGCATTAAATAAGAAGAGGAAATTTAGTGGAAAATAAATTGGGACTCGGTGATTTTTTAAATATTAATGTGTAGTGTTTGTCAATAATCTTGTCATATATTCCATTCTTGTTATCAGGTATTTTTTTGAATTTTTTTAGTTTAAAAAGAAATTGAGTTGTGATGGGGATTTGAGTTAAAAATGGTTAGGAAAATTTAATTTTGAAAAATAAAAATTTTAGCAAAAAGATTTGGGGATTTTTAACATTATCACAAAACAACTCATTTTTTTTTGATTTAGTCTAAAATTTATAAATATAATTTATCATAGAATTAACATATCCTAAATTATATTTTTCTACTTAAACATTAAAAAATTTAGGGGGTGTTGGCGAACGGTTGTTATTAACTCTGATCACTTCCGGTTTTTGGTTAATTAAATTTTAAAAGCCCAGTTTTTGGGTTTACTTGCCCATTTTTCAAGTTTTTTTAATATTTGGTTTTATTTTTTGGGGAATTTTTTTTAATTACTCATTTCCAAAAAAAATTTTTTTCGGTTTTATAATCGTCGCCAACAACTACTATATTACAATTAAAAATTTTAATTTAAAAAATAATTCAAACATAGTATATTATACATATTTTTGTAGATAAAAATTTTTAAAAATATATTTTAACAACTACATATATTAATTTTATGTTATTTTAACACGTTTATATTTTTAAAAAAAATATAAAATTTAATGAAAGATTTAATGTAGTTTGCTTTGTTTCTAAAAATTATTTTAAAATTTTTTTGTTTAGCTATTTTAGTAGCTGCTGTCCCCATTGCCAATAAAAAATGGATGTGCATTGACTCCAAAATCAATAATTCCCCAACTATTTAAAAAAGCTCATTCACTCTTTTACGCAAAAAAAAATTTTTTTCATTCCAGAGTATATGACAAGGGATTATTAAGCCGTCAAAGAGAATGGGAGGGGAGTGAATTTAGTGCACTTATCAATAATTAAGTCTGGTCCTAAAAAGTAAAAATAATAATCTTCTCTGAGGTGTGTCCCCCATTGCCTCTTTTCAATTTCATTCAGTTTCAATTTTTAATATTTTTTTATAAAAAATTTTTTTTTGGTAAAATCACCCTTCCAATAAAATAATAATATTATTTTCCTAGAGTATCAATATCAATTGTTGTTTTTATTCTAAAATTGATAATAATCTGTCGGGTGTTTTTATACAAATTTTCGGAGAGTTGAAAGTATATAGGAAGGAAATAATTTTTTTAAAAGGACACACACACAAATTTATTTTTTTCTGAATAATTTTTGTGCACATAGGGGAGAGTCAAAAAATTTATTAGCTGTGTATTATTAACAGTTTCGTATAAAATTATTAAATAAATACATTTTACTTCCCCCTAAAAATAAATAAAAATGAGTGGTCCTTTACTTCAAAAAAAAATTTTTTTTTTGTTAAATAGACTGACTGATATTTGCTAAAGAGCAGTCCCAGCATTTTTGCTATCACTCGTAAATTTCTAGAGAGAAAATGTTAAATGGGGGGACCTTTTTAAAAATAAATAAACTAAAGGTTAATTCATCTTAAGGTTTTTTTAAAGAGAGGAAGGAAACAAACAACCGAAAAAAATGCCTCTCAAAATTCCTACCAATGAAAAAGACAATTCACAACTCTTACAAGAACAGCAAAAAGACGAAATAAATAATAAAATGGTGTGTGAAGAAGAAGAAGAAAGTGATACAGGAAGGGGTTTGGCTAAATCTTTGACGTTAATGAATGGTGTTTCGATGATTGTTGGGTATGGTTTTAATTTTAAAAAATTAAAAAAAAAGAATTTTTTAAGATGTATCATTGGATCGGGAATTTTTCTGTCACCTACGGGAGTTCAAAGAGGTTTTTTTAATTAAAAAAATTTTTTAAAATAATTTTTTGTAGAGGCTGGAAGTGTTGGATTGTCTCTTCTAATATGGATATTTTGCGGTTTGTTTGTTGGACTTGGCTCTTATTGTGTTTGTTTTTTGCTTAATTTTACTTAAAAATGTCTTTAAAAGGCTTAAAAATGTTCTGGAAAATTTTGGGAATTTTTTTGAAATTTTTTTGAGGGTTTAAAAAAATATTTCCCCGAAAAGGGTTCCTGCTCCTCGAAACTAAACATTTTCCCACTACACCAAGAATGACAAATCAAAAAGAAATTTTGAGCGCCCAAATTTCAAAATGTAAAAAATCAAAATATCTAAATTCGAAACACCAAAAATTTTTAAATTTTTTTTATGTAGTATGCCGAACTTGGTACTTTGATTAAAAAATCTGGTGGAGATTATGCTTATATTGTTTGTTTGCTTTTAGTTTTTATGATCAGTTTAATTTTATAATTTAGATGGAGGCTTTTGGACCTTTTTTGGCATTTATTCGATTATGGGTTGAAGCTATTATTGTTAGGTATATTTAAAAAAGTTTAAAATTATTAAGGACCCCCTATGAGATACACTCTTTGGCTGAAAAATTGTGCTTATAATGGGAGGTGTATTAAATAGAGTGTTATCGCTTCGACGGTCCCTCTATCCAATAGCAACCTACTCATTGTTAGCGGGCAACCAAATTTTTAAAGGCCCTATTTTAATTCGAGGTTCATTTAATGTCGGGCGGTTCCTATAGCGAAGATGTCTATAGTGAGCGCATCTTATATTGGGTGTCTCTTATAATGATGTCTATTATCATATTACTAATTTAGGCCATGTACTTGTACAATTGTTTGTTTGACCTTTGCTACTTACATTCTTCGACCGTTCTTCCCCAATTGTTCCCCGCCTTCAGGAATTATTCAAATGATTGCTGCTGCTTTGATAAGTGTGTGTAAAAAATTTATTGAAAAATTTGAGAGGTTTTTTAAAAATTTTTATTATTTTTCAGTTTTTTTGACGACTTTAAATTGTGTTTCTGTTAGGTTATTTTTTATTTAAAAATTTTTTTAATATTTAAAATTGTCCTCAAGGTGGTCAACAATTGTTATGGATACCTTTACTGTTGCCAAAATATTTGCTCTTTTGCTTATTACTTTTACAGGAATTTATTTGTTGGTTAGCGGTTAGTTTAGATGAATTTTTTTTAGAATTTACTTAATTAAAATTTTTTGTGAAGGAGATCCACTTTATCGAAAGTCATTTGAGAACATTTTTGAAGACACAAATACCAATATTGGCAAAGTTTCAATAGCCTTTTATTCTGGACTTTTTGCCTATCAAGGATGGAATTATTTAAATTTTATTATTGAAGAGCTTCAAAATCCTAAAAGGTTTTTTAAATTTTTTTATTGAGAAATTTAGTGGCTTGTGAATTTCGAGGTTAATTTGGGGGTTGATAAGGGTAGTTGACTTTTTTTGGTACTACACCCTTCAGTCATACTTTTTAGTATGGAAGGAGCGGTCATTGTACTTCCAGTTGCAAAAAGTGACCATGACCGAAACCTTGAAAACCAATTCGATTTTTTGGAACCTTGAGAACTTCGCGGAAGACCATCAAAAAATTTTTAATTTTAATAAGGAATTCAGAATTATTTTGGATCTTTTTAAATCTTCTTAAGCTTTAATCGGGTTCTTTTTCCTTATAAATTTTCTCCTTTATTTTTTAAAGAAATCTTCCTCTTGCAATTCTCATCTCAACCGTTTCTGTTACTATAATTTATGTTTTTACAAATGTTGCTCTCTACACAGTTATTAGCCCACAAGAAATGTTGGCTTCTGATGCTGTTGCTGTGGTATTTTTTTGAGAGGGTTTTTTATAAATTATTTTTTAAAGGAATTTGCAAATAAAATGTATGGACCTTTAGCTTTTACAATGCCTATATTTGTTGCTTGTTCGACTTTTGGATCAGCAAATGGAGTGTTAGTTTTTGGAAATTTTTTTAGAAATTTTCGTAGTTATTTTTCTAATTTTTTATTAGCCTTTTTAAAAAATTTATACCAAATACTAAAATTTTGATGACCTTATTAGCAGTTATACTCACAATCAGAGATCGGACCGTGACGTTATCTTGAATAAAAATTTGGGTTATTTAACTCGGGATTTCTTGAGATAAGGATTTTTTGATTCCCTTACGACCCTTGCAGTTCTGTCTCTACTTACAATTTCTGACGAGTAAATAAAATTAATTTTGAGAAAAGTATATGGAACATCTAAAATTAAAAAATAATTTTAAATTGTTCTATAATAATTTTTATTTTCTTTAAAGGATTTTCACATCATCAAGACTTTTCTATGTTGGCGCTAGAGAGGAACAAATGCCAATTGCATTAACTATGATAAATAAACAAACGAGAACACCAATACCGGCAGTAGCATTTCTGGTATATTTTTCTTAATTTTTGAATATTTTTTTCTTAAAATAAGAGAACCTTTAAGTTTAGGATTTGTAGTGATTTCAGGGTTAATTTAAGAAAATATTTTCTTTTGGGATTTTTCAAAAAAATTTTTTTAGTTTTACCCTTGAGTATATTTCTGTTTCTTTTGCTGATTTGATGAACTCATAGGTGAGAATTGGAAAAGTTTTTTTATTAGTCACGAATGAGAATCTTCGTAAAATGATTCCTCATGTCTTCCCTAAATCTATAAAAATTTTTTAAAAAAGATTTTTTCCTCATGGGCGCCATGTTGAAAATGTTTGTAAACTAATTCTTCTTATCCTTCCCTACCTCAAATTTTTTCAAAACAAATTTTTCTTTTTTTTCAGGGATTCTTGTCACTTTGTTATTTAGCTTTTGGAGATGATGCAATAACTCTAATAAATTATATCCAAATAAGTTATTGGTTGGCTATAGGTTTAGCAATTTCTGCACTTTTTTATCTTCGCAAAAAAATGCCAAATGCTCCAAGACCGATAAAAGTTAATTTAATATTTCCTTCTTTATTTTTGTTTGGATGTATGGCACTTGTTGTTATACCTATTGTTGGGAATCCTAAGGATACAGGTTTAAAGATACAAAATTTTTTTTTGAAAATTTTTTTGAAAATTTTGGAAATTAAAAAAAATTTAAAAAAAATTAAAAAAAATTTTTTTTTTAATTTTTGGAAAATTTTTTATTAATTAAAAATATTTATTTTAGCAATTGGAATAGCAATAATGTTGACAGCTATACCTGTCTATTTACTTTTTATTTATTGGAAAAATAGGCCAATGTGGATTTACAGAGCTTCGGGTATTTTTTTGTTGTTTAATAAAATATTTTTTATTTGAAATATGAGGCGTTTGGTTTAAAAAGGGGCTTGAAAATGGTAAATTACATCTTGCCATAGTGTTGAAAAATTAAAAAAAAACTTTAAATAAAATTTTAAAAATAAAAAAAAATTCAGCAAACATGACTCGTTTTTGTCAGAAGCTATTCCTTGTTGTTAATGATGAAGAAAAACCTTGAGAAAATTTTATAGAAATTTTTTTTGACATTCCCAATTAATTAAGTTTTAAAAATAATTTCTATTTTTCAAAAATTTTTAAAATTCAAAAGACAACCCTATAAACAAAATTTTTGACCGACATATTTTTTACCTGCCCTCTCAAATATTTTCATTTTTGCAATTAATATATATTTTTTATTTTTTCTATTATTTTTTCTTGATAATTTGTTAAATCTTTTTATAATTTTATAGTAGGGTTGTTAGCGACCGGTTTTAAAACCGGAATTTTTAAAAAATTTTTACCAAAATTAACCGTGTTTATAAAATTTAAATTAACCGAAAACCGGAGGTACCGGTTAATAACCGGCCGCCAACAACTCTATTTTATAGTTAAATATATATTGTCAAAAATATTTTTTAATTTTAATTAAATAAATTTTTAAAAATAATTTTTTTTTGTATTTTATAAATTTTAATTGAATATTTTAATTAATTATTTAATTTTTTTTAAATTTATTTTCTCATATTTTTTTAAATTTTTTTTAAAAACTTGGTTGGAGAAAAGCAGGAAATAAAAATATTTTTATATTTATTTTTCTTTTTCTTTTTTTTTCAAAAGCTTTTTGCAAAAATCAATTTATTGCCGACTGTCAACTATTTAAGCTTTATTTCACTATAGCTGGCTGGTGTGCTGCGGTTTTTGTGGGAGGGAAGGACGGTAAGTGAAGCCTTTTTATTTTTCTCTTGCTTTTAATGTTTTAAATGGGGGGAGTTTTTGGATTAAAAATAAAATAAAAATTTTTTTATTTTGTTGCGCGGAGAAAAAGAAAAATTAATTTTTATTTTCTTAAAATTAATTTTTGAGGAAAGGAAGGGAGGAGGGAGAGGCATAAATAAATTTCTTATTTTTACCCCAATTTTTTTTTGATTTTTTTTGAAAAGGGAGGAGGGAGACAAAAATAAATAAAAATTTATTTATTTTGAAATTCTCCCCCCTCCCCCAAAAATGTTCGTCTCCCCTCTCTTTTAATCTTTTTTTTTAAAAATAATAGAAAAGTACATTTTTCATTTTTTAAAAAAGTTGCAGGCTAAGCACACATGACGCAAGATAAAAAAATTTTTTTTTGTTTAATTTAAGAGTACTTGCTGCTTTTTAAAAATGATTTTTAAAAATTTTAAAAAAGCATTTGTTTCATTTTATAATAAAATTTTGGTAAATAAAAAATTTTTTTTTGATTATTCCATCAATCATCGTTTTGAAAACCCTTTGGGAATTTTTTTATAATTTTATTTTTTTGGGGAGATTTTATTTTTGATAAATTTTAGGAAATAAATTTATTTAAAAATATTTTTTCAGCATTTTTTCAATTTTTTATTAAGTGTTGAAAATATTTTCTAGCGTAGCTCCTAAGTTCTGGACATTTTTTTTCTTGAGGAAAAAATTTTTTTAATATTAAAATAGCCCAGGGATATGACTAGAAAATCCTTCCAGAAATCGAAAAATCACCAAAAAATTCCAAATCGAAAGAAAAAATTTTGAAACTCGAAATTTCGAAATACCTCTGCAGGTTTCGGGTCAGGAAAAACTTACTGATATCAAGTAATTCGTCTCCCATTCCTTCTCCGAACCCTAATACGTTCCCCTTTTGAGTGAGGGGTTGTTAAGTTTCTACTCTAGTATTCCCCCTACTCTAGTATTTTTTGTTTTCAGACTCTAATAGGGGGCTTTGTGTGATTTTTGTCTTTATCCATCACTTAAGCATTAGTCATATTAATTTTTTGTTTAAAAAATTTATTTATTTTTTAATGTGTTAATTTCTTCATATTTTTTAAGTGCAAAAAGAAATTCCATCCCCCCGCCAATGACGATTTTTTTTTGTGTGAGAGAATCAGCCCCTCCCTATTTATTGCTGTTCCTCTCCACCCCTTAATGGGTGCGTATTGGGGACATTTTATATTTTTTATTTATTTCTAAAGCTTACGCGTCACGTAAAAATAAAATTTTATATAGCCGGCACTACCAGCTTTAACTACATTAATTTTTCTCTTTTTTTAAAATTTATTTCTGCCTTTCATTTTTTTGGAATTTTTATTTAATTTTTTTTTGCTGTGCGCCAAAAATATTTTTTAGGGGAATTTTTTGGCGTTTTTTAATTTTGGCGTTTTTGAACGTCAGAAAAATGTTTTTGGCGCACACTTTATTTTTATAATTTTTTTTTATTTTGATGATTTTTCCTTTTCAGATGGCAAATGAAATGCCAACAGAAAATGAACAAGTAGCGAATGAAGAGAATACTGAACCTTCAAAATTAAAATCAATATTGCGAAATGGAGTTCAAATTGTGGTAGTTGATGAAAGTTCTGCAAAGGATAGGGAATCACCTCAAAAAGTGCCGTTTGAATTGACTGTGGAAGATGATCAGAATCAATTAATTAACGGTTTGGATTTTTTTGTTTGGAAATTAATTTTTTGCGGACAAGAAAAAATATTTTTTTTTAATTTTAAAAAATTTCGTTGGAAAAATCCTGAGCCTTTAAAAATTAAATTTTTAAGGATTCAAGGATGATGATGGTGCCGGCAGTTGTTTCCAAGACTTGGATGACCAACACTTGCAAATATTACCAGACAACGACTTTCAAAGCTCACTCTCAATTAACGAATCTCAGGGTAACTTCTTATAATTTTTTTGTGTTTTCTGATTTGAGACTAGGCTGAGGAAGTTTAGTTTATCGTTCTTGTAGCTTTTCCGAAAAATTTTTAAATTTTGCGGACAAATTTTTTTGGTTCCTCGTATTTTTCTTTGACATGTTGTAGTTCCTTTTCTTTAATCTTTCCGCAAAATTTTTCTAATATAAAAATACCATAATTTTTTTCTAGGTTGTCAAGCAAGAGATGATGTAATTATTGTTGATCATTTACCAATCCCCCCAGATGGAGAATACGGTTGGGTAGTTGTTGCTGCTGCTTTTGTTTGTAATTTAATTGTTGATGGAATTAGTAATGCTTTTGGGTATTTTTTTAATTTTTTTTTTTGAAATTTTTAAATGTTTCTTCAGGCCTTTTATGGCTGCTTATCAAAAAGAATTTGGTGCCAACAAATCCGCGTATGCCTTTAAATTTTTTTAAAAATTGTTTAAAATTTATTTTTTAGTGTTTCTCTTATTGGATCGATTCTAATTGGAATGTATTTACTCTCTGGTATTTTCTAGAATTTTTTTTTGAAATTTTTAGAAAAATATTTTTTCAGGCCCAGTTGTAGGCGGTCTTCTAAACAATTTTGAAACTCGCCGTATTGTTGTTTGTGGAGCCATTATTGCTTCATTATCTTTTATTCTTTCTACATTTTCACCAAATATTTTTGTTTATTATTTTGTTTATGGAATTCTTGGAGGTTTTTTTTAATTTTCGGGAGGGGCCAAAAATTTTTTTGAAGGAATTGGCTTTGGATTTATTTATTTGCCAGCAATTGTGATTGTTAGTCAATATTTTGAAGCAAAGAGGGCATTAGCTACTGGAATTGCTGTTTCTGGAAGTGGTGTTGGGACTTTTTTGATTCCTCTTTTGTCTAAATATTTGATTGAATGTTTGTTTTGATTTTTTAAATTTATTTGTGGGGAGATAACAAAAAATTAGATTAAATATGAGTAGAATTTAAACTTATCCTTCAAGTTGTGGACGTGGCGGAGTGGTTAGGGAGGTACACTTTTTATATTGGGGTTGGTGGTTCGATCCCTTTTAAGTCCCTATTTTTTCCTCAAGCGCTTTTTGCATGTTTTCTGTTCTTTAGTATCAGCATTTTATTATTAAAAGTATTTTAAATATTTTTTTAAAGCTTTTGGTTGGAAAATAGCCATATATTGCCTAGCTGCACTTATTCTTCTCTGTGTATTTTGTGGCCTTTTATTTAAACCTTTGCCATTGCCAGAATTTGATATTGAAAAACAAAACAGACTAGCAATTGAATTAAAACAACAAGCACTTTTAGCTGCTTTGAGTAGAGCAGATGATGGAGATGATGAGGTTTCTTTTTAATTTTTGAATTTTTGTTGATTTAATTTGTAGTGTAATTCAAATATTTCTGATGAAGTTACAACAAATGGGGGAGGTGTTTCTCCTGTTAAACGGTCAGCAACTACAAGAACATCTTCACAATGTACAAAAGAGGATGGTCAACCTTTACTAATGAATGGACTTGAAGGTGGAATTGATTTAGGGAGAGGAGATGAAAATGCTGATGAAATGGTTTAAATTTTTTTAGAAATTTTTAGGGGGCTTTGAGGGAAATTTTTAAGAGGTGTAAGGAAGTTTTTGGGTCATTTTGGTTATTCTTTCCTTGAAATTCTTTTTAAAACTTTTTTTCTGATTTTTAAAGGTTTCTTCCTCCCCATTAACACCTCATCGTCCCCCACTTTCTCCCATCCCTGAAAGTGGAAAGAGAAGATTAAGCAAAAGTAGAGCTGGTTCTGTACAACAATCACACGCTGATGGTATTTCTGGTCGACATCCAACAGTCGTTTCAAATCGAACTAGAAAGCCTACATTAACTAGGTTGATTTGATTTTTATTTTTAAAATTCAAATTTTCATTTAAAAACAGTATGGCAAGTGATGCATGGATGGGAAGTAGCAATCAACTTCGCTTAAGCCGTGTCAACCTCAACAGCCAATTGTCACGTGTTTCAGCACGTTCATACGCCCAATCACTTAGTAGACTAAGCCAAGCACCACCTCAATCAATCAAAGGCGAATCAACACTTTCTGTTGCTTTGAGTGGAGCTGAACCAAAAGAATTTGCTAGGCCTTTATCTAGACATGATATTTTCCTTCAAGGAAGTATAAGAAATTTGAAGGAATTTGAAAGCGAAGGTTTTTAAATTTTTAAATTTTTTCAGAATCAAAGAAATTTCTCTTTTAAGGAAGCAATTATCAACGTTATAGAGAATCTCAAATTTCAATTCCAATGATTATTGCGGCACAAAATTTATCTTCTTCACTTTCACATGCTTGTGGTGATATGGTAGAATCAAGCAATAGATTTGGTGGAAGTCAATATAGTAGAATAACTGGTGGGGAAGGAACAGAATTTTGTGAAGATTTGGAAGGACAGCAACAAGATACAAGGTTTTTGACTTTTAAATACTAGCTTCAGATCCCAGTAATAAATCGGTAAAAACCTTCCGTCAAAGCTTGTGATCCGTATTTTTTTAGTGGATTGGAAAGTTGGTATCCCTGCTAACATAAGTAAGATAGAAACCCAATTTTTCTTCGACTTGTTAGGCCATAAATGCACCAATAATTTTTTTAGTTATCAATCTTTTTGAGAATATATTCTACTAATCCTATCTTTCTGAACAATATTTTGGCTATTTCGAATATTTGATAATTAGAAAGTTTTAGACCCAAAACCGGAATAGAGGTCCAGCTGTTACTCTCCTCTCTTCAATTATATTTTTTATTTTTCAGTCGTTTCAAATTTATTCCACTTCCAATTCGCCAAGCAATCTCAGAAATGGTTTCTCTTTCATTATTATCAGATCCTGTAATGGTTCTTTTATGTATTTCTTCAATTTTTGGAATGCTTGGATTTTACGTTCCTTTTGTATTTTTAATTGAATTGGCTGTATCTGAAGGAATATCACTTTCTGAGGCTACTTTATTACTTTCACTTATTGGAATTTCAAATACTTTTGGTTTCTATTTAAAAATTTTTCAAAAAATTTCTTTTTAAAGGCCGTGTATTTTTTGGTTGGATGGCCGATAGAAGATGGGTTAGTGCTTTAACAATAACCAATTGGTCTTTAATATCATGTGGGTTGCTCACAGCATTTTGTCCATTATTTCCAAATTACCTCATGTTAATTACTTATTCTTGTTTGTTTGGATTTATTGTTTGTAAGTTTTTTTTGAGAAATTTTTTGCGAAAATTTTTTCAAAAATATTTTTTAGCAGCCTATGTTTGCCTTACTTCAATTTTACTTTCTGATCTACTTGGAGTTGAAAGACTAACAAATTCTTTTGGTATTTTGGTTGTTGCTAGAGGAATTTCTTCCCTTTTGGGTACTCCATTAGCTGGTATTGTTTTTGATTTGACACAATCATATATTGCTGCATTTGTTTTTGCTGGTTCTTTAATTGTTATTTCTGGATTAATTAGTTGTTGTATTTATTTTGTACATCGTTATCAAAGAAGTCAACTTAGAAATGAAGGTTTTTTATGTGAATTTATAATTGGGGCCAGGGAGGAGGGTTGGGGTTACTCGATACCAGAAACTTTGATTTTTTCGTCTCGAAACGTTATCTGATTTTTTCCATCGACTTGTCCCTGATTGTAATGCGTCCCTCACATATTTTTGTATCCAAAAGGGTGTTGACCTTGGCTTTCCTCAATCAAAAAAATTTTTCACGGCTGTAACTCGATTTTTTTAAAATCTATTAGCCCACGCAATTTATGCCCAAAATTAAGGACAGCCAAGGTGTTAACTTTCTTTTTAAATTATTTAACCAATAATTTTATGTTGAGTGGATAAAATTTAGAGACAATCCTTTTTTATTTTTAATGCTTTCATTTGAATATTTTTAAAAGGTGATTATGTAGAACCACAAAAGAAGACATTTATTCCATTAGAACAAGCAGATGCTACAAGTGGAAAACTTTCAGTTTTAACAGAAAGAAGTGAAGAATATTTGACAGAATATCAAAGAACGATTCAAAGTATTCATCAACAAAAAGCTTTGCTACAAGAATTGGAACAATATAAACAAAGAAATTTAATTAATGAAGAAGGGGAGGAAGAGGGGGATGATGTGGATGAAAGAAGAGTTGGAGGAGGTGAACAGGTTATTAATTTAAATTAGAGAGAAGCCTCGAAAAAAATTTTTTTTCAAAGGAAGAAAATTTACTGGAGGAAGAAGAAAATAATTTTAAAAATAATAAAAAAGACGAAGATGAACAAATTATTAATCATGTAGAAAATAAAAACAAGGAAATTGACGTTGGAGATTGAAGAGAAGATGAAAGAATTTTGATTTTTGTTTTTTTTCCTGAAAGCCGGTGTGACAGGTTTATTTTTATTATTTTTATTACTTTAAGATTCAATTTTTTTTTATTTTTTTAGATAGAGAGAAACCTTGGTAATTTTTAAAAATTGTTTCTGTGCAATCCTGTAATACACTTGTGTGAGGTTTATTTTTCTTTTTTTTCTCTCTTGAAATACAAAACTTGAAAAAAATTGTTGGGCTTCTTTTCTGAATTTTTTTTTGGTTTTTTTTTTCCTGAAAAATTTAAGGGGCGTTAAAAATTCATTTTTTAATTTTTAAATGGTTTTGTATTTTATAAAAATATTTTTTATTATTTTTCTTCCTTTTTTTAAATCCTACCGAGTGTGCCGTTCTCCTTATATTTTCTTTATCTACCAATTATTTTTTTATTTTAAATTATTTTGGTTATATCTTTTCTATTTTTTATTTTCCACTTAATCTAGCCTCATCGAAAAAATTTTTTAATTTAAGGGAATATTTCCAAAAATTTTTTTCTTTTAATTTTTCTCTTAAGAAGGGGTATACTTCCAAAAATAAATTGACAAAAAAATTATTTTTGGATCTAATTAAATTTTAGTCCTTTCCTTTTCATAAAGGGTTCTTTATTGTCTTCCCTAAAATAAATTTAAAAAAAATTTTTTTTTAATTTTCTGGGTTAGGATTTGTTTCATTTTCTTATCTTTATTCTTCCTTCTCTCTCTAAAAAGCATAAAATAAATTAATTTCTCGATCTCCTCATATTTTCACGCATTCTTTTATTTTTAAATTTTGCATTATATATTTTTTTTATTTTTTTTTTGTTTTTATGAGCTGTAAAATTCTTTTAGAGACTTTTTAAAAAATATCCCACAATTTGTTTTTAATTTTAAAAAAATTCTTTGTGCCACTTAATTGATATGTTCTCTCTCCTTCCATTTTTATATAATTTTTTTAAATTTTTAGTACAATAAAAATGTCGCAATGTTCAAATTTTAATTTAAAAGATTTTTAGATTTTTTTCTTTGGATTTGCAGCAAAAAAATAATATTTCCACGTTATTATTTTAACAACATTTTTTGATTTACTATTAATAGCAGTGTTGGTGTAATGGTGAAGGCGCTTGATTTGTAAATTCAGAGGTAGTTCAATGGACGTCGGTTCGAATCCCGTTACGGAATTTTTGTTTTTAAATGACTTGGAAAAATTTTTAGTAGAAAAAATTAATCTCTCGATCTCCTCAGAAGCACAAGAAATTTTTTCGAATAGGGATTATTTTAGAGATTTATTTAATCCCTAATGTTTTAGGAATTAACAGATTTCCTATCAATTTGTAAGAACGCCAACCATAAACGCAATTCTATTGCGTTTTTAAGTTATAAATTACTCATTGCGCACACCTTTAAAAAAATCGAAGTGTGCGTAAAGCTCGTTTTACAACGTATGAAGAACGCAAATTTTTTGCGTTATTGGCGTTTCCAGTTTTTGGCGTTTTTACACGTTATAAAATAATTTTGGCGCACACAAATTTAAAAAAATTCTAAAACTAACTGTGCAAAACCTACTTAATTTGCCTTCTTCAACTGACTGTGAAATTATGGCAGAATGATCAAAAATGATGAAAAACGATTACAAAACTTATAAACTCAAGAGACATTGATTTTTGTTTAAATTTATTTCTATAATTTATTTCAATTTAAAAAATGCTCAGAATTGGCATTATGATAAATTACATTTTGTCCCACTATTATTTTAAAATAAATGACAATTTGCTTTAAAGTTAGAGAAATATAAAAAAGAAATAGTGTAGTTAGAGATAAAAATTAAATATTTGTATTGAGGTCGGTTGAGTGCGGAATTTTGAGAGTGAACTGGCAAAATTTAAAATTCTAAATTTTCAAAAAATCGATATCAATCGATAAAATCAATACTAATCGATAATTTATTTTTTTTAATTCTAAATTTTCTAAAAATCGATATCAATCGATAAAATCAATACTAATCGATAATTTATTTTTTTAAAATTCTAAATTTTCAAAAAATCGATATCAATCGATAAAATCAATACTAATCGATAATTTATTTTTTAAAAATTCTAAATTTTCAAAAAATCGATATCAATCGATAAAATCAATACTAATCGATAATTTATTTTTTTTTAATTCTAAATTTTAAAAAAATCGATATCAATCGATAAAATCAATACTAATCGATAATTTATTTTTTAAAAATTCTAAATTTTCAAAAAATCGATATCAATCGATAAAATCAATACTAATCGATAATTTATTTTTTTTAATTCTAAATTTTCAAAAAATCGATATCAATCGATAAAATCAATACTAATCGATAATTTATTTTTTAAAAATTCTAAATTTTCAAAAAATCGATATCAATCGATAAAATCAATACTAATCGATAATTTATTTTTTTTTAATTCTAAATTTAAAAAAAAATCGATATCAATCGATAAAATCAATACTAATCGATAATTTATTTTTTAAAAATTCTAAATTTTCAAAAAATCGATATCAATCGATAAAATCAATACTAATCGATAATTTATTTTTTTTTAATTCTAAATTTTCAAAAAATCGATATCAATCGATAAAATCAATACTAATCGATAATTTATTTTTTAAAAATTCTAAATTTTCAAAAAATCGATATCAATCGATAAAATCAATACTAATCGATAATTTATTTTTTTTTAATTCTAAATTTTCAAAAAATCGATATCAATCGATAAAATCAATACTAATCGATAATTTATTTTTTAAAAATTCTAAATTTTCAAAAAATCGATACTAATCGATAAAATCAATACTAATCGATAATTTATTTTTTAAAAATTCAAAATTTTCGAAAAATCGATATCAATCGATAAAATCAATACTAATCGATAATTTATTTTTTAAAAATTCTAAATTTTCGAAAAATCGATATCAATCGATAAAATCAATACTAATCGATAATTTATTTTTTAAATTTAATTTTGAATAAATCTTTAATGTGAAAAAATAAAAACCTCCCGAGGGGTCCGAACCTAGACCCTTTTTCTCAAAGTAGAGGACGTTATCCATTACACCACCGATGATCATAACAATAACAGATTAATTAAAGTATATGGTCTTTATATTTTTATATTAAATTTTCACTAGTTAATGAGCTAATTGAGGATCGTTTTTTAAAACATAAAAAAAGGAATGGCATTAAAAATTAAAAAATTATTATTGTATAAATAATATTAATAAAAACAAAAATGTTGTAAAAATAATTCTGTTGATGAAAGGCCAATTTTTGGTGGTTGTTTCTGTTGAATTTGTTTGTGGAGAACGAGGGTAATCATTACACAAATCTATTGAAATTTAAAAAAAAATTTAGATTAAATTTTAAGAATGAAAATTTTCGGAGACTGAAAATAGGCTTCTTATTCTGTTTATTTATCCCATAAAGTTATGGATACTTATTAGATTTTTTCTTTGATTTTTAAATTTTTTGTTGGAACGGTTTTCCTTCGGGTTCGAAAATTATGGCCAGTTGACTTGGTCAAGTCGTTAGCTAATTTAAAAAAATTTGGGAAGTTAAAAGGAAAGATTTTCTTGAAATTTAAAAAGAATATTATAAGTAGCTAGCCAAAATTAATTTAAAACGATCAAAACCCCCATAGCAATTTTGAAAAATTAAAAAAGCACCAACTTTTTGGAACACACAGAGGGGGAACCAATAAAATTTTAAGTATCTCGAGTCTTTCCCCCCACATTTAAAAAAATAAAAATATACTTCCAATGCATCGGCACAATTCCACAGTTCTATTGCTTGATTTAAGGGCCATATGTCTAGGTAAAAGTGCTCGCATTCTTTAAAAAATTAAAAAATAAAATTTTTTAAAAATTGAAAAAAAAATACTAACGGAAAGGTAGAACAAGAAGTATCTGAAAATTAAAAAAAAAATTAAGAAAAAAATTAAAAAAATTATCTTTTATTTAAAAGTTGGTTCCCTTAAAATTTTGTAATTTTTTTTAAATTTCTGTGCCAAAAAAATTAAATAAAACCCCAATTTAATTTTATTGGCCTTCCAAAAAAATACTTCAAAAAAACAAAAAAAAACTTTTATTTGACAAACTTTAATGAACCGAAAAAATTTTATTTTTATTTTTATTTTCAAGTGTGTGGCCGGCCACTTTAAACAAATTAATTTTGGAAAAAATTTTTGGAGGCTATTTTTTTAATAAAAAAATAAAATCTTACCAACAAGATTTTCAGTAGACAATTCTCCATACTTGAAAACTGAAGAAAAACAACCACGAATTACATTATTACCAATATATTGGCCTTAAAAAATTAAAGTAAAAAAATTTAAAAATTTTATAATTTATTTTAAAAGAAAGAAAATTTTTTTGAAATTTGGAATACGAAAAGACTTGTATCAAATAAAAATTATGCCGGCATAGAAAAATAAATTACTGACCCAAACAACGTCAAGATTTTTCTATTTTTGGAAATGGGCCGGCTAAAGTTTTGATTTATTATTATTCAATAGGACTCCTCGAGCTGAATCGAATGTTTTGAATTTTTTCTTTTGAACTTTTTTAATTAAAAAAAATTTTTTGTTAATTTGTTCCGCGTAACAAAGTGTGCAGAGAAAACTAATCAAAACATTGTCCAAAAAAGTCGAATTACGGGTATTTGTTAAATTCGATCCAGCTCGTCTAGCTGAATCGATTGATAAATATTTAGCCGTATTAAAGTCTGTCCTCATAAATTCTTTTCAGAATTTATTTAAAAAAAACCGGGGAAGAGTCAGAAATTTTTTTAAACAATTATAGAAACCTATATAAAATTTTTCGCATTTTTAAATGAGGAAAAAGGAAAAATTTCTTTAATAAAAAATATTTTTTTACCAGCCAACATTCTCGGTTCAATAACAGTAACACAAATAGAATGAGTACATGGAGTTCTGCCAATAGGTTCTGTTCCAGATGTAATGGCATGACAATCATCTGTAAAGTTCATTGGACGATAATAAATCTGAAATTGAATTTTTTGGGATTTTTTTGAAACCTTTTTTTTGAAAATTTTTAAAATTTAAAAAATCCATAAAATAATTTTTATTATTCTCCTCATTTTTCCTATTTTTCCATTTAATTTTTTTTACTAAAATATTTCTATTTATCCAACTAATATTTTTTCTAAAAGTCTCATTTTGCATTTTTTTCAATTCTTCTCATTTTACACAAATTTTACAACAACAACCAAAACAGTTGTTTTAAAAACTTTTTTTAAAAATTTTAAAAATAAAATAAACAAAAATATTTTTAAAATTTCCTTCCTTTTTAGTCCCTTTTAATTTAAATTTAAAAATAATTTGGGTCCTCGAGGGAATTGTTTAAATGGACAAACAAAACAATTTAAAAAAATATTTTTTTTTATTTCTTGGGGTAAGCAATTAATTTGTATAAAGAAAAGACAAAAAAAATAAATTTTAAAAATAAAAATTTCAAAAAAAATTTTGAGAAAAAATTAAAATTTTAATTTCAATATTTTCAAATAAATTTAAAAAAAAATCCAAAAAAAAATTTTCTTAATTTAAAATATTTATTTATTTCCCTCCCTTTAATTTTATTTATTTTTCCAAAAAAAAATAATTAAAAAATAGACCACACTAACCGAAAATACCCAAACTAAAAATCCCTCCAAAAAAAGGAAGGAAGATATGCGTGCCCTCGAGATATTCTTTTTAAAAAACAATTTCAAAAAATGCTTAGACAAACAAAATAATCTTTTCCAGTCTTAAGAAAAAAAATTAAAAATATTTAAAGAAATGCCCAAAAGATCAAACCTCAAAAATAAATTATTTTATAAATTTTGTTAGCGTGAAGAAAGAAAAAAGAAGAGAGAGTTGGAGGTCAAAAAATTTCAAAAATTCGATTAAAAATCGAAAAAAAATTTTTTTCCAAAAGAAAAATTAATTTAGAAGAGTATCCAAAATATCCCTTCCCCTTCTTTATTTTCTTTATTCTGGTACAAAAAAGGCTTCCGCCTATTGAGAAAAGCTAATTAATTCATCCACGCAACAATGAAAATGGAGATGAATTTATGTAAAAAAAATATGTCGAGAAAGAATAAAAAAAAAGAAAAAATATAAGAAAGGAAAAACAAAAAGAAAATTAAATTAAATAATTAAAAATTGAATTTAAAATAATATTAAATAAAAAAGACTAGGAAAGGAGTCGAACCCATCCGCCCACCCAAGGGAAACCCAAAACAATACCAACTACATCACTGATTAACATATTCAATTTTATCTTTCGAGAGTTAAGTAAATAAGTAAAAATTCGAAAAATATGTATTTGACTAGCAAAAATTAAAAAAAATTTTTAAAGAATTTTTAAGGCCCCAAAATTTTTTTTTTAATTTTTAAGGCTTCCAAAAAATTTTTTTAATAAGAAAAATCTTTTTTTATTAAAAAATTGGCACTTTAATTTTGGCCTTTTTCTTTATTTATTTTCATATTTTTTCCTAAACCAAAAAATTTATTACAAAAGAGCAAAAAAATTCAATTTTCCCCCCCATTTTTCTTTTCATCTTCTCTCCAAGGAAAAAAAATATTACTATTTTTATATTAAATAAATTTTTTCACACGTTTTTGAATAAAAAAATGAATTTTTTGGAAGGTGTAAAAAATTGACTTATTGGCAGAAAAAATTTTTTATGGATTTTTTAAAAAATTTTTTGAAAAGCTACCTGACTCAGATAAGACCAATGAGCTTCAAATTCTTTAGACATACAAGAGAAGCAATAACGTTGTTCAGAGAAGCTTTATTTAAAAAAATTAAAATAATAAAATTTCTTTATCTTCTATATCAATGAGTTAAATGAATCCTAGTTAAATGTCTAGTTAAATGAATCCAAATTTAAGCTAGGGTCTCAACTATCGGTCGAAATACGTCCCCTGAAACCCGAAAAACCCATAGGAAAAACTCGAAAATCCATGATTTTTTTCTCAAAAATAATTTTTTAAATATTTTAAATAATTTTTTTAAATCTAAATTTATTTTTTACCTATCAATCCCGTTATTGCCCATATTAAAATCTGAAAGTGCTCGACTTTGTGATGATGAAGAACCTCTTCTAGCACCAACCAGAACAATATTATTTTCAATTAATAACCAAAAAAATATATAAAATAAAATATTAAATTGTTGTTTTTGTTTAGAGATTTTTGTTGTTTTATTTGTTGATTTTAATAAGGTGTAAAGAAGAAGTTGACTTTTACGCATCCAACGGCAGCGGCCGATTAAAGGCGGCAATTGTTGAGGCAGCAGCAGTAATGGACAACATTTTGATTAATTTAACTTGGACATTCTAAAAATTAAAAATAAATTTTAATTCTCGATTTTTGTGCTTAAAAAGAGCCCAAAAAATTAAAAAAAATTTTTTGTCTAAAAAATAAAAAAAAAGACAATAGCCTTGAAAATATGCGCAAAAAGCCTCAAACTTTCACAACTAAAATCATCATTCCGGATGAATGAAATATGCCAAAAAAAAAATTTTTTTAAGAGAAGAAAAAAGGATAAAATAAAGAATTATTTATTAAGTGAGAGGATGAATCGAAAAGGATTAAATAAAGCAGGACTTGACACAAGACAACTTTTTATATGAAAAATGTAAGAGAAAGATAAAATAGTATAGAAAAATGAGAGAATATCTAGTTTTTATTTAATGAAAAAATATTTTTTTTGTGGATTAGTTTTTAAAGGAGGAATTAAAAAATTAATATTAAAGTTGATATAAAATATTGAAAAATATGAGGTGTGATGACGCTCTTATTAAGACGTTTATAATATTTTTCAAAAATTTTTTTGATCACTTAATTGCCCGAAAAATCATCAAAATAGGTCGAGGGTAATTACTGCTATTAAAAAAAGCCAGAAATATTGGGAAAGACATATTGAAATATTTCCATATCGAGATACTTCCACTGGATTCACGACCTACAGCCACTGGGTCTTGGATAGTACATTGTCCTATTGAAAATATTTTTTAGAATTTAGAACCAACGTAAATCCACAAGAAGTTTTTCTTGTCACCGCAATCCCAATATGTCTCTCCCGACATGTCTCCTTACCGATCCAATCCCAAAAAAATAAATTAATAAATAAAAAATCTGTCATATAAACACGTCAACTAAAGAGACAGTGAAATTAAGTTTTTGGTGACAAAAAATGAAAACGGATAAAAAATAAAAAGGGAGGGACAATTGAGGGTTTTGGAGTATAAAGAGGGGGGGAATCCTCAAAAAGCTCTATCCCTCTCCCCCTTTCTTTCATCTCATCTTCCTTTTACAACATTTCCCCCTCTTATCTTATGCCATAAACAATTGGCTCCTCCCTTTAAAGCTTTTTCATGAAGAAGAAAAAAAGGAGGATGAAGCAAGAGAATCAACAAAAAATAAAAGAGGTGACAAAATATCCCCTCCCTAGTCTGAAAAAAAAACTAGAAAAAAAAATGCCAGAATTGTTATACCAATTTTGTGTTGTTGGCACTTGGGATGAGTGAATTTGCTCATTGTACATATCTAGTTAAATATATATATATATAGCCAATTTTTTTTTTTGGGGGGGGGGGGGGGGGGAGTGTGTGCTCATCCAAGCTGCAACAAAGCAATAAATAAGTATATGTTTTTTTGAAGAATTGTAAAAAAAAATAGAATTAAATTAAATATAAACATGGAAATGGAAAAGAATTTTATTAAATTTCATTAATAAAGTGGAAAAAAGAATGCAACAATGTGTTAAAAGAAGTTTATGAAAAAAGTGAAAATTAAAAATAAGAGAGAAAAAGATGTAGAATATGATAATGATTTGAATAATAATTGAATAGAATTTATGTAGAAGTCTGCGTCAGAAGGAAGTTGATAAATGTGTATCAGAACACGGTTACACGTTGACCTAATACAAGAGCTTATTCAACGCAAAACCCCGACCCGAAAAAAAAATTTTGAAAGACCGAACCCCGACTTTTTTCTCCATCCCTGCTCCAAACTCTAATTATGATCTTCTTTCTATTTATCTCGTCTTTCTATATCCCCTTATTTATTTTCTTATTCCTTTTTATTTTTTAAAGATCCCCAATGTTCTTAATATTAACAAAACCAGCCGTGTTTTTAAACTAAACTAAATACACTATAATCTCGCCTCTTGCTATCAACCCTTCACGTTATTTTTCACTCTCACTTTTACTCATTTCCCAAAAAAAAATATTTTTAAAAAATAAAAAATGGTTGTTGTGCCAAGCCCTTCCTCTGCAGCAATAATCCATTCAGAACCCCCTAGGCAATATCCGGTTTGATTTTTAAAAATTCCTATTAAATCCAAAACTCTTTAAGATTATTCGTACTCGCTCCCTCGGAGATGTTTATCATTCAAATAATTTGTATAATCAGTCACAATTTGCTGCTACAACAATACCTATCGGAATGGCTTCTAAAGTAGCTTACAAATTTTTTAAACTTAAGCACTCACAAAAAAATTTTTTTCACAGCCAATAAATATTCACAACCCTTATTGGACATACCAAGCATATTGGCCTTATCGTTATTTTCGCAATTACAGAAATTATGAGTAAACTAAAAATATTTTATATTTAAAAAAATTTAATTTTACTAAAGAAATTATATAACCGATTCATTTTATTGGCACTATCCTTTCCGCCTATGGAATTCTTACAGAGGGAATTGGTATCATTACGACTCTCCCTATTTTTATCGTTTGTTTGTTTTAATTTTAAAATTAAAAAAATTTTTTGAAGGTAGATATCATGATTATTACAATGTTTATTACAATTCTGAATTGATGTCTTATGGTGGGAATTTAAAATTTAAGAAACTAAAAAATAAAAATATTTTGTAGGCAATCGCTCAAAGCTGATAGAAAATCTCTTCCAAGAGACACCAATAACTCAATAAAAAAATCAGAAGGATAAGGAAGAAAAATCAGAAATGAGAAGAAAAGATTTTCTTGCTACAATGAATATAAGAAAAAAACCAAATTTCCCCATTAATGTCCTTACATAATTAGTCGAAAAAATTGTCCTTTTTTCCAAAGAATTCTTTGACCCGTTTAAAAATTTTTTAAATAAAATTTTCTCAATTTTTAAATTTCTTTTTGTCCAAAAATTTATTTTTCCAAAAATCAACATCTAAGATAAAAAACATGCTTCTATTCTTCCTTTCCTATAAACTTTTTTAAAATAAATATTTGTGTGGGTGGAAGAAGCATTTGGCTAAAATTAAACACTAAACTAATCAGAACATTTGCCCTTTAAAAAAAATAAAAATAAATAAAAATTTTGAACGCCAAATGGTTAACCCTCGTTTTTCTCACATTCTTTTAACCTCTGGAAGAGTTTAAAAAATAATAGAAAATATTTATTCCTAAAAAAATAAACAACCCGTTAAAAAATAATTTCTTAAAAAATTTCCAAAAATTTTCTAAAAAAATTTCTACCTTTCTTAAAAAATTCAGACAAATTAAAATATTAATTTAACAACATGGCAGACTTAGAAGTACAACCTTTCGGGTTAACCCGAGCCCAATCTGCAGCAGTTATTCGAGGAAGTGCTATAGACAATCAACCTCAACTAATGGTTAACTGACTTTTAAAAATTTTTCCATCCTAAAAAAATTTATTTTTAAAGTTGACACGGACATATTCAATCCCCAATGTTTTTGATTATCATCGACGAACAGATCAATACAAGTTTTTTTCTTTAAAAAATCCTTTCAAAATTCTTCTTATTTTCAGACCTCAATTTTCTATTTATTCCTACTCCTTAGCTAAACATCGTCCTTATTTTCCTTATCGATATGTGAGGGATACTGAACGAGTAATATCTTTAAAAATTTTTTTAAATTTTTAACTATACTTTAAGGGCGCCGCAGCTAACAGTTTCTGGTATAATCGTTATTATCAATTTACTCCCCTCTTTAAACGTTCAATCTTCCGTCCCTATTTCTACTATCGGTTAGTTAGATATTTAAAGAAAAATTAATCTTATAATCCTTTTACTAAAGCCACGATTTTGACAATCCAAGCTATTCAAGACGAGCATACGACCCATTCTTTACACCCCATTTTGACGCATATTCTTATGGAAATTGGGGGAAAGTTCGACAACATTATGTTTAAAAAGAAAATTGAGAAAATATGAGAAGAGAGTGAAAGAGAGAGATGATTTTTGAATGAATAAAATTTTAAAATAAATATAAAATTTTTAAAAGGCAGATAAAAGATTTTCCTTACTTAAAACTCGAAAAAGAAAAAAAGATCAAAGGTAATACCCATGTCCAGAATTCAAACCTTGCCCATTTCATTAATTAAATCAAAAGATATCTCAACTTTACCAAAAAAGCTTACAAGACCTTTAGCTTATTCTTAACACTTGTTTTTGTTAATTTCGTTCTCTGATTTATTGGAAGAACCTCATTTTCCCCTTTAAATCTTCTCTGAATATCCTACAACAATAAAAATGCATGATATGCCCAGTTGTTTATTTTTAAAAGTATAAAGCGGGGGCGTGTTGAATTAAATAAGAAAATAAGCAAAAGTAAAAGATCTGCTTTCCCCTCTCCCATTTTACTTCAACAAAAGTTAAATCGATCGGATAAAAATTTTTTTATCTTATTTTTAATCCCCCTTCCTTACTAAAGAACATTTTTTAAATTAAAATTTACCCATCCTGTAGATATGACATCAGACAGACTTGGCCCAGTAGTTCCAGATTTGACTAGCCAAGAGACCAATAGACTTGAACGAACTAGTTCCTTGGTCGATTTGGCAATTCGGGATGGAGTTCCATATCCTCATAGGCCTGCAATTAATAATGTTCCTCCGTATCTGAATATGGTAAATAAAAAAATTTTTAATCCAAGTAAAACACCTTTTTTCAGTTGACTCGAACATTTTCTGTACCAAATGTAAACCAGTACACGGTAAACATCCATGTTCCTAATTCTCAAAATTATCTAAAAAATTCTTTTAAGGGTGCAATAGGTCCTTATCGACCAGCAAATCCTGTCTATACTTATTATAGCTATAAATGCTATTTTCCGTATAGAAATTATCGAGGCTATACACTGGTAATTCTAAACATATTTAAAAATTATTTTCAAATTTAAAGACGGATGCTTATTGGTACGACCGTTATTATTATTTTTCGCCAATATACAAACGGTCAATGTTTCCAATTAGATTCCGGCACTCGTATGTTTTTTTGGAAGTCAAAAAAATTAAAAAAATTTTTTAAGTGACTACAAAGCCAATCCAAATTATTGGCATTATCCACACACCTATTGGAGCTACCCTTATCAAGGAAAATGGTAAGTAATGAGGGATTGGATTTTTGGGGTATTTTTTTCAATCTTTTCCTATTTTTCTAGATATTTTGAGAAATTCTTGACTTAAAAATCCGGACCCTAGCAATAACAAAAAAATAAAATTTCCCCTCAATTTAAAGGTATGACTACGACAATCCAACAAATTACCGCCCATTCTTTGACCCACGAATCAGCGCATCATTTTCAAGACCTTACCATTACACATCACATGCGCTTGCATACCCAAATAACCATCAACAAGGAATGATCCAGAATCGATTCTAAATGCTTTAAAAAATAATTTTTTATATAAATAAATTAGAAAAAACAATTTTGGCCAATTTTCTGAAATTGAGAATTAAAAAATTTTTTTTTAATTTTAAAAAGTAATTTCCAAATCGTCATCATCAGAGTTTGTATTCATATCATCATCATTAACATCCAAATTAACTTCCTTTCTTTCAGTAAAAGGGGTTTGGATAGAGCTTAAGGATAAAAAGGTTTTGTTTTGAAGTACAAACACACAATAAAAGTACACGCACAAAAAACGATAGAAGAACAAACCCACATAAAATATGCTTGAGACACGTTCCTCGGCGGGGAACCCAACCTTTGGATTTGAGTATTGGGATTTGGGAAGGAAACTATCATTTATTTTTAAATTAACTTAAAAAACCCCCATAAAACCCCTCAAAAAACAAACTAACTCATCTCCTCCTCCAATAGGTCTAGGTGCATCAGAAGGCGTTCTATAATTTGTACTAGAATTGCATTGCGTCTGTGGTGTTGAGCTATAAGAGCCTTTAGCCAATTTATCTTGAGTTTCCTTCCTTTTACTTTTAATCAATTGCAAAATTCGGTAACCTTCCTCCTATAAAATTTAAAAATTTAGTAAAAAAATAAATTTAAAAAATAAAAAATAAACCTTCGAAATATCATAATCAAGGCACCTCTGTGCATAATCATAAGAAGTATCAAGATTTGCTTGTTCCAAATAATAGCTAGCTAGGAATCGACATGAAGTTGCGATCAGACTTAAGTCACCAACCTTGAAAATTTTAAATTAGTGTGGAAGAATCGAATTTAGAGAATCCTATAAAGGGATTTTCAAGAGGTCGAAAGGGATGGGATCCCGCGGGATAAATCCTGATCATCCCGTTCACCAAGGGCGTAGCCAGAGGGGCTGAAGCACCCCCCCCCCCCAACATGGGGAAAAGGAGGAAGAAATTAGGAGCGGCATGAACAAAAAAGTAAATTTTTTTCGCCTACAACCTCCAAAATTCGAAAAATTTGGCCCACTGGCTACGCCCTTGCCATTCATTACTTAAAACTCGAAATTCCTGGACGGATAAATGCTGAAAACCCGGTTAGGTACCCAAGAAATAATAGCTCACCAATTCCTCTGTGTACAATGTCAAATAGGCCTCATAAGCTTTTGCTGCATTCCTTTTATCATTTTGATCCTCATAAAGTCTAAAAATTAAAAGAATTTTTAAAAAGTATTTAAAAATCAAACTTTGCCAAATGAATTAATGCATTCCCCTCAACATCCCCAATTTGAAAAGCTTTTTTAAAACATTTTTCAGCATCAGATTTTCTATCCAATTTAGAGAACATAACTCCAAGAGCAATTAACATTCGTGAATCATCAGGACGACATTTATGTGCTTTTTTATAATAAAATAAAGCATTTGATGGTTGTTTCATAATTTCGTGTAATTGGCCTAATCCATACCAAGCTCTATAACAATTTTTGTCGATTACTTTAAAATTTTTGAAATTAAAAATAAAATTTTAAAATCCGCAAACATGTAGCTTTCTTGTAAGATGAAGTCGCTGCTTGATGATTTTTTGTTTCCAAATATTCATGGCCTAATAAAACCCAAAGAGATGCGTTTTTTGGACATAACATTATTGAACGCTTCAAAAATTCCTGAGCTTGTTCGTGAATGTTTTTTGCGCTGTAGTAATTGGCTAAATAAAAAAAAATTGAAATTTACAAGAGTAAAAAAGGAAAATTAACTTTAGACCTTTTTCAATTTAAAAATTAAAAAGTATTTCAAAAACTCTTACCAACAATGCAACAAGTTTCCCAATTAAATTTATGACTCACAAAAAACCATTTTGCTAATAAGGCAAGTTCTGTAAAGTTTTGCTAGAAAAAAATAATAATTTTTAAAATCAAGGGTGTTACGACAATTGTGAACGACAATTCCCGATATGAAAAATAAATTTTTTAAAATGAGCCCGGTTTGGAGTACCGGATAACGGTCCCTAAACTTGAATAAATACACTTTTAAAAATTTTGTATCCGAAATTGTCGCTAATATGGCTATCCGAAAAAATATCCGAAACAAAAAAAATACACTTTTAAAATTTTACTTACTCGAATATACAACGAATCGGAATAGAAATGCATCTAAAAAAGTAAAACTTTTAACAAATTCTTAAAAATTAGAAAAAAACCTGTTCAATTCTATAAGGATCAGATTTTCTAATTTTTTGAAAAGAACTAATTGCCCCATCGTGTTCTTGCAATTCTGATTGTGCTGTAGCTATTTGACAAAGAATGTAAGGAGAAGCACCCAAATATTTAGAAACGTCTGTATATGCTTCTATTGCACAAACAAAAAGTAAAAGACGTGACATTGTTTCAGCAACAAATAAATTGTAAAGCCAAGTTTTGCTATAAACTTCTTTTTCTATTTTAACCTTTTAAAAGTTTAATTTAGAATTAAATTCAAAGTCGTCATAAAATACACCGTTGGGGTTGAAGAAGAAGTATACCGAAACAGAGCGAAAGGATAAAGACAGAAGTTTAGGACGAAAATGCGAGTTAATTTAAATCGCGAAAGGCGAAACAGCGAATGCCCGCACTCTCCTCCAGTTTACTATCAAATTTTAAAATATCTAAAGATAGGGTTCGACCGATTTTAAAATTATATAAAATATATTTACCACATAAAATCCATCCACCAAACTCGAAAGGCATTCCCATGCTGGCCAACAACGATTGTCTTGTTGAATCTAATTTTTGTATGAAAAATTTTTTCTAAAAAACTAACCGATTCACTAAATGCTTGAATAGCCATATCATTTGCATCACATTTTAGTCTTACCAAACCTAATCTAGAAAAATTTTTTAGTAAAATTAAAATGCAAAAGAATTACAAATAATTGAGAAAACAGTCAAACAAATGTGGAGAATTTAATTTTAATGTTTCCAATTCACTTCTTAATTCTGAAAAAAAAGAGAAATATAAAATTTAATTAGTTGTTAAGGAATATTTTAACAATAATTTGGAAATTATTTGGAAAAGTAAATTAGATTTTTACACTCAAGCTAGGGTCGAGTTTCGGACTGGATTTTCGAAATTTCCTTTGGATCGGGCCTCGATACAAAAAGTCCGTGTTTCGGGTATTGAATCGGGGTCAAAAAAAGAGATCAGCCCATCCAAAAAAGAACAGATCAGCCCATCAGATAAAAAAATATTAAAAGTAAAACAAACCAGAAATATTATCATCAGACGAGGGTTCCTTCGTTTCCAAGTCTTCAGCATCTCCTTCAAATCTATCCCTTATAGAGATCAAATACCAAGAATGATAATATAAAAAGGCCTCCAGACAGTCAGATTCTTTGCTTTTTGATAAGAAAAACTGAAAATAAAAAAAAAAATTTTCGGAAATTTTTGTCTAAAAAATCCGCAGCTCCAATTTAATAAATTTTCAACCGAAAATAACAAAGTTTAACGAAACCTTAGCTCGATGGTAATATTTGCTAGTCATCAATGTCCGAACAAACATAATCAAAGCCCTTCTCTTCATATTTATTTCTCCATAATGCCAATTAGAAGATTGTGCAACCTCAGGTGACAAAAAATGACTTTGAGGTAGATGATTCAATTGTTCATTCGCCCTTAAAATTAAAATTATAAAATAAATTTTGTAAACAAAAAATATACCAAAGAGCATGTTCAAAAATACAACGCAATTCGCATTGTTCAGCTAGCCAAAACAAATCATTCACAACCTTGGCAGGATTCACAGCAGGTTCAATTTCGTTATCAGGAGCACTGGATTCAAGCATCGACTCCATTACTATTTTTTAAATATTTTTTTGCCTGGAATTATTTTCTTAAAAAAATTATTTTTACAAAAAATATCATAAAAATGGAAAATGCGAAAAACATGTAAAATTTAAAAATATTGACAAAAACGTTTATTAAGACAAAAAATTCCAATAAATTAAATAATACATAAAAGCAAAACTTAAGTAAAATTTAAAGACAAATTGTATTTCATCAGAATCCTCTGAAACCATCAATCTTCTGAAGGACCATTCAAAGAAGAGTACGAAGCGGATTCGGAACTTAATAAAATTATTATTTTTATAAATAAGCAAGAGATTGATAGTCAAAATATTGACAATTAAGTTTTGGAAACCCCAAGAAATAAGGAACCCTTGCAGGGGCATTACAAATAAGTCCATTCATTGGAACACGTGAAAAATTAACCTTTATTATCCTGTCGCTGAACCATTTTAACATAAGCTTCCAACTCCCGAAGTGTCACCGTTTTGAGATGCTCAAAATCAACCTCGACTCGATCTGGATTGATGCCTACATCCTCTCCGTGAGCTTCAATTATGTTGACAACACTAGAAAAATTTTCTTAACAGAAAAAAAAATTAAAAATTACGTTTCCATTTTATCATCAGACAACATATTTATGTCCATAGCAAGTTGACGCTTTTCATCATATGTCATTGGCTCGGTCGCATGTTCAGAATCGAATTCATATTCACGTTTAAATTTAGACGCCATTATTCTTAAAAATATATTTTGCCTGAAATTATTTTATTAAAAAATTATTTAAACAAAAAGATCATAAAAATACAAAATGAGAAAAACATGTGTGACAAAATTTAAAAAATTCAAGGAAGCGTTTATTGAAACAAAAATTCAAATAAATTACAGGACAAAAACAAAATTTATGCAAAACTTAAAGATAAATTGTACTTTAGTCACCCTCAATAAAATCCTTTGGAAGCACCGATTCCTTGTGAGCACTGATTTTAAAACCATTATTAGCCTGTCGCTGAACCATTCTGACATAAGCTTCCAACTCCCGAAGTGTCACCGGTTTGAGCGTCTCAAAATCGATCGTAACTTCATCCGGATCAAAATCTTTAATCTTCTCGCGAGCTTCAATTATGTTGACAACACTAAAAAAATATTTTCCAACTAAAAAAGAAAAAAAATAAAAATTACGTCTCCAATTTATCAACAGACAACATATTTATATCCATAGAAAGTTGCCGCTTTTCTTCGTACGTCATGAGCTCGGTCGCATGTTCATCGTCTGAATCGAATTCATATTCACGTTTTAATTTAGCCTTCATAATTCAGCTAAAAATATATTTTTTCCTGAAATTATTTTATTAAAAATTTCTAAACAAATTTAAATTTCTTAAAAGGAATTTTTCAAAAATTATTTCCCTAATTAGTAAACCCAAATAATTTCTAAACTTTATTTTCTAACCTACACACGCCAAGTAAAATAAGACTGAGAACTAGGCTAGCTACTTTTGCTTCAACTAAAATACAAAAAGGTTATTTTAGGCGGGGCTAGGAGTGAATCAACATTTCTCTTCATGCTGACCAGAAATGATGGTCAACAACAAAAGATGCTGCTGCACCACTCCGCCTCCTTCTTCTCAAATAAAATATTTTTTTCTTAAACCCTAGGAATTCTTTTTAAAAAAAATCAAAAATCATGAAGTATTCCAATTTTCCTTATTTTTTACAAATATCATAAAAATACAAAATGAGAAAAACATTTGTTTGAAAAAATTAAAAGAATTAAAATATATTGACAAACTTATTAATAACGCAAAAAAAATTTTTTTCGAATAAAATTATATAATAAAAGCAAAACTTGTGTATGTGTAAAATTTAAAGACAAATTGTGTATGTATTTTTTGAAAGGAGAGAGAAAAAAAGATTTTTTTAAATAAAATAAAATAATTTTTTAAATTGCAGCGGAAAGTTATATGATAAAACAATACGCTTACTTATTTTTTTAAAAATAATAATCAGTCAGAAAAAAATTTTTAAATAAAATGAAAAGAGAGAGAGAGAAGGATACGCCCAAGTAGGCACGCGGCCAAGTAGGCGCAAAGCCATAACTAGCTGGAAAATTTCTGAACCTTAACTATTTTGGTACCAATCTCTTTAGCTCGGTGAGAGGAATCGTTTAATACTAAATTTTGAAATATTCAGAAATCTTGAAGCAAGTTATGGCTTTGCGCCTACTTGGCCGCGCGCCTACTTGGGCTGTACCCAGAGAAAGATACTGAATTTTTGTTTCAAAACTAAAATATATCTACTTAAACTAACAATATAAGTCAAAAAAAGGTATATGTATAAAATAAATTGTGTATTAAAATGAGCAGTAAAATTATCTGGAGAGAGAGATTAAATGAGAGTGAAAATATATAATAATATTAATATTTTTTATATAATAAGATGACTTTGGTATAGTCAAATTTTCTTTACCTTATACTTATTTTTTAAATTTTTTTTTCACATTTTATTTTTTAAAATCGCATTTCAAAATTAGCCATCAACTCCATTTGGCTAGTCATATCAACATGTTCCATTTCCTCACGTTTTCTTCGCTCCTAATTTTTTTAAATTAAATTTTAAGAATTTTTTTCACCCGTTACATTTTTTTCCTTCTTTCTCATAAATACTACAAAACGGTCAAAGGTGAATAAGGTTCATAATGGTCAGACAAGTATTCGTTTATAGAAAAAAAAGACAAAGGACTGTCGTTTTTGTATTAATTTAATTCTTAATTTTTATTAGCATTTGACCATTCCGTAATATTCATGAAAGTATAAAGGAGAAAAAAAGGAAGGTAGACGGATAAATAAAAAATTTCAAAAAAACCTTCTCCATTTCTCTTCTTCGATTAATCTCATCTTGATCAATTTGTGGCTTTGTAGGCGGTTGTACAAGTTCTGCTGAAGAAGCTCCATTTGAATTAACAGCTGGGATCTGTTGTTGTTGCTGCTGTTGTTGTTGTTGAAGTTGTTCAAGTTCTCTCAGCTTACGACGCTTTTCCTCCTCTTCTTTTAACAAACGCTTCTTTAAAAATTTTTAAGAATATAAAAATTCAAAAAAATCAAAAAATAAACCCTTTCTTCTTTTTCCCTAGCTTTCATTCGAAATTGTTCAAAGGCAGCACTTGCAGCAACCGTTGAATTTGCTGTTTGTCCACCTTCTCCACCAGGTCGTTGTGCCAAAGAACTCCAAGAAGTTTTATTTGTTATTCCAACATTTCCCGCTCCCCCTCCTTTGTCATCATTTCCTGTTGGAAGTAATAAATCAAGAACAGAGCCAGCTGTTCCAGCACTCATCTCTGTTGAATTAGTTGATTGAAACAAAGGAGCAGCTCCACTGTGGACATGAGAGGAAGGCTGCTGTGGAGGCATGCCTATTGGTGAAGCAATTTGAGAATTATCTTTAAAAAAGGAAGAGAATATTTAAGAATGAAAAATGGGATAGAATTGGAAGATATCTCCAAACACCCAGAATAAAAAAACTTTTTTAAAGAAAATTTAAAAAAATCAAAGAAACCTTGCTGTTGTTGAGGACTAATCCTCGCATTTTTATTTTGAACATTTGAGACAGCATTAGACGGAACAACACCAACATTTGGAGTTCCAACACCAGCATTCTGCATATTTTGCATTTGTTGAGGAAATATCTTTAATTGATGGATTTCTCCATTGATAGTACAATTTTCAATTGACACCTTATTATTATTTGCATTGTTTGCATTCATCACAGGTGGTGCTTGTTTACGCGGTGTTGGCTTCCCTTCTAAAAATAAATTTGTTTTTAGAATTATTTATTTTTGGATTTTTTTTTTGTTTTATAGTTTTTTTAATCTTACTTAAAATTCAAAAAAACAAAAAATAAAATCAATTTATTTTTTAAATGAGAAAAAAATTTTTTTTGAAAAAATACAATGGCAGTTGTGAAAATGAAAATTTGAAAAAAATTGAAAAATTCGAAATGCCAGGCTTAGAATTAGAGAAAAATTATTTAGAACCTAAATATCCTAAAAAATATTGCTTATTGTCTTAGAGATGTACACCGAACCCCACTCAATTTTTTTCACAATTATTCCTGATCCAAAACAATTTGAAAACACCAGCCCTTGAGAGAGCCCTCGAGAGTTCAGGGTACAACCCTAGTTTGACATCAAAAAATATTTGGCAAGATAAAACAAAATAACAAAATAGAGGAGAGATTAATGGAGGACTGGGTAAATTATGTCAGTGAAAATTTTTAATATAAAGGCTTAAAATATTTTAAAAGAGATCGGCAAAATTTAAAAAAAGGAAAGGATAAGTAGTAGAAAAATAATTTTTAGGACCTAAATTTTTCTTTTTAAATTTATTTTTAAAAATATTTTTAAGCACCGAGAATAATTTCAATTATAATTTCAAGAATACTTATCCTTTCCAAACCAATATACAACAATAATATTTTAGTTAATTACAAATTCAAAAATAAAATTGTGTCTGTGGAATTATCCTCGGTCTTTTTTTTTACTTCTCTCTTTTTTAACTTTTCTCTTTTATCCTCTAACCTGATTCAGTATCTGAAGAATCACTAGAATCCTCTGAAGACGAAGTACCACCACTCGAATCAGAATCTGAAGATGATTCATCCTTTGAAATGTTTTGTTGCTGTTGAGATGGTGGTGGTGGCTGTTGTTGTCGACTTACAGTTGAGACAAGAGAAGAGTTTTTAACGCTCCCAGGATCTTGTTGAGTTTTGTTCGGCATTTGAACACTTCCATTAGAAACTTAATATTAAATTTTTTATTTTCTTGCCCTATTAAATTTCGAAAACCCAAAAAATAATAAAAGCCCCTGGTAAGAGTGTATTAAAAAATAACAAACCATTCATTGGAACCTCCTTCTTTTTGGCCAAACCACCTATTAAAAATATTAAAATGAATACTCCATAAACTAAAAAAAACCTTGTTGCTGACACATTTTAACATAAGCCTCCAAATCCCGAAGTGTCACCGGTTTGAGCGTCTCAAAGTCAATCTCGATTTCCTCTGGATTAAAATCTGTAATCTTCTCACGAGCTTCAATAATGTTGACAACACTAGAAAAAAATACTTTTCAACTCCAAAAAAAGAGAAAATAAAAATTACGTTGACAATTTATCAGCAGACAACATATTTATATCCATAGAAAGTTGACGCTTTTCATCATATGTCATTGGCTCAGTCGCATGTTCATCCTCTGAATTGAATTCATATTCACGTCTAGGCGCTGCTGAACTCTCTTTAGCAGCTTTCTCTGTTTTAGGTTTATTTTTCGAACCAGGTTTACGTCCACGTCTGCCAACACCACCACCAGCTCCAGCAAATCCTTGTTGTTGTGGCTGTTGTTGTTGCATTTGTGACATAAGTTGTTGTTGAGGAACTGCTGCAGTTGAAGTAGGCGGTCCAATCAAATTGCTTTGCAATGGTTGTTGTTGCGGCAGTGGTTGTTTTTGAGGAGGAACCAGTGTTGGAACTTGTTGAATGGCCACAGAAGACGGAACTAAATTCTGAGCTAAAGACGGTGCACTAATACTTCCGCCTCCTTCCATAACTGATGGTTGAACTTAAAAAATTTCAAACAAGTCAGAAAAAATACAAATAAACACATACCTCCAAGTCCTGGAATAAATCCTTTAGGCCTTCCAGGTCCAGATTTTTTCTTAAAAGATTGTGTAGGCGCCACAATATGTTGTGGAATGCTCGTTGGAATATTTGGTTGTTTATTAACTTGTTGCTGAATATTTAAACTGCCACTAGAAGATTGAGTAGCCAACATTGGAGGCATAAAGGCAGTTGATGGAATATTTTGAACTGGAGCATTTAGAGCACTATTAATTGCTGAATGAAGATCAGCACTAAGTTGGGGCAATGGCTGATGTTGTGAGCGAGCCTCACGACGTTTAAACCTAGGATTAAAAAATTTTGGTAAGCCCAGATCAGGGATGTCACGGGTTGAGAAAAAGACGGATTTCGTGTTTAGAAATTTTCTTCGGACCGGATTTGGGTCGAAAAGTTTTCGTGTTATCGGTAACGTGTCAAGAAAAGTCATGCTTCAGGTATAGGGTAACCCGCGACATCCTTTGCCCACATAATAAAAGGAAGAGGATAAAATAGCTTAAAAAACCCATAATAATAATTAAAATTATATATACTTAAGTGAAATTAGTTCTTGGTTATATTGTTGAAGTTGAGTAAGTTTATCATTAACATGATAAAGCATTAAATCTATTTGATCATCATCATCCATTGATTTAGCGGATTGAGACGACAAAGATGGTATATTCGAAGAAATTGAAGGTTTTACATTTTTGAACGAAGGAATAAAAGGAGGTTGTTGTTCTTTAAGTTCTTCCTTATGTAAAACTGGAAGTTGTTGATGAATTTCTTCTTTAGTTTCAAGCGGTAAATGCTTCCAACGGGCATTAAAATAATCCTAAAAAATTAAATACTCTCTCGTGAGCTCTCCTCATGAAAAGCTCGAACCAGAAGCTGTTTGCCAAGTTTATTGACTATTTGCCCCTCAGGATTGTAAGTAAAACAATTGTCACACATGAGCATAATGTCACTTTTAAATTCTTCTGGAGTAACATATTGTCGAGCATCCATTTTTCTTCTTATTGTGCCAAGATCAATAGGGTCTTTGATAATGTCGTAATAGTCAAACAGCTTTAATCCTTCAACATCAACAGGTTCCAAAAATGCCCAATTGAAACCTAAAAAAATTTGAACATCCGTTAAAAGTTATCTTTCAAGATTTTTGTGGTTTGGCAGTAGGTATTAGTGTCGGGTTCGGGATTTCTAACAAATAAAATTGGAAATAAATTCCGACTCATGTCAGCCACTCGATTACCAAATGACAAGCCCAAAGATATCAAAAAAGCTACATATTCCTCATTTTTCTAGGGACTAGTAAAGCCGAATATTACCAAAAAAATCCATCAGAAAAATTAAAAAAATCCAAACCTTTACACTTTTTAGAAATCATAAGCTCAGTTAATAATTTTGTGCAAAATTTCATCTGTTCATTAGGTTTTCCTTTCAAACGAGGTTTAAGTTGTGCATAGTCAATTTGAGGTGGTCCCTTTTTTATTGGTCTAACTTCACGTTTTGTTGGCAAAATTTGTTTAGAAGAAGGTCCTTGATCTTCATCAAAACTTGTTGTTGTATCAGCTTTCCTTTTAACACCTTTCTAAATTTAAAAAAATTTTTTAAAAATTATAAAACAAAAAAGAAACCCCTTTTTGATCATCAATAGAATCACTTTCCAATTTAATCATTCCAATAGATGAAGAACTATCAGGAAGACCACGTTGTGCAGAAGACTCACGACTTGCTAAAAAAATAATTTTTTTTTGTAAAAAGAAAATAAAAGCAAAATGAAACATTAAAAGGTGCTCGAAGATTTAAGATAAGAAAAAAATTTGAAGGAAAAAATAAAAATCGGTTAAAAAAGCAAGGAGAAAAAAGAGGAGAAATTGAAGAAAAGAGTGCAAAAGCCCTAATTTGAAAAAAAAAGAAAATTTTAGGTGCAAGCAGAGGAGCAGAGATATGGATTGATATTTCGATTAGAGCTAGGAATTTTGAAAAAACCGGGACCGGGTCCGGGTAACGGGTTCTGAAAAATGGACCGGCCGGGTTCCGGGTCCGGGAAACCGGGAAAACCCGTTCCCGGTTTCAACCCGGTCTAGAAATGGGCGGGTCCCGGCCGGGAAACCGGGTTTTTTTATTTGTTGAAATGGGGCTGTATTTTTCATCATGGGGCTGTATTTTTCAACTATCCTCCTATACGATTTTCGAAGTTTAGATGGTAATGAAGCCAGAACTCTTAAATTTTCTGCGCACAAGCGAAAATTTTGGAAAATTCATGATTAAATTAAAATTTCTAATATTTTTTCAAGTAAAATCTTAAAAAAAAAATAAATTTGCAAATTTAAAATCAAAATCAAAGTTTAAAATTATTTTTTTAAAAAGAAAATTTTCTCAGCCCCACTTCCATACATGGATTCGAACCCCATCCCCATAAATTGACTAGATGAGTGAAGTCAGTCAATTTAACCACTCAATCATCGACCAATAAAGGGAAATATTGGAAATTATAAATATTCCTTTCCCTTTTCCTTCAAAAATTTAATATCGAAGTACGAAAATATACTAAATATTTTTCCCGGTTTCCAGGTGAAAAAAAAGCCGGGACCGGGTCCGGGTAACGGGTTCTGAAAAATGGACCGGCCGGGTTCCGGGTCGGGAAACCGGGAAAACCCGTCCCCGGTTTCAACCCGGTTGCTTCAAAAAAACCGGGAAAAAGGACCCGGAAACCGGGTTCCGGGTCCGGGTCCCGGACCCGTTCCTAGCTCTAATTTCGATCTACTGGCGATTTCCAATGAAATTTAAAAATCACCAGTTACTCGAGTTAGAAAAAAATACCAATCCAAAAATATAAACTCAAAAATTTGCGAGCACCTTGCAAAGTAGCATTGTGAAAATAGCTTAAAATTGCTGTTGCAGATTCACACAAGCTATTAGACGGACTATTAGTACCTTTTGTAGTTGTTGAAGTTGCACGAACAATTTTTTTGATTGCACCTTTGTTTCCACCTTTCTTCTGATTAGGAAAAGGGATTTCACGCTCCTGAAAAAGTAAAAAATAAAATGGGTATTTTAAAAGTTTAAAAATTTTTAGGAAATCCAGAAAATCTTCTCATTTTCTAAAAAAACCTCATTCGGAAATTTTTTCATACGATCACGGTACAAATTTTCAACGTTTTTGCACATTAAAGTGACATCATCTTCACATTGATTGAATTTATAACAATTTGACCAAATTTGTTCAAAATCCTATAAAAACAAAAAACTTACATCAGTAGGTATTTTACTGATTCTCATCAGTATAAATTGTTCGAGTTCTTTTGCCATCTTATAGACCCCATATTCAGGTGGATTGTAAATGTAGCAATTGTTGAAGATTTGCATGATGTCCTAGAATATTAAATATTGGAAACACGGAACCGCCCAGAAAAAAAAGCACATAAAAAATGTTTTTTTACAAAAACGGTGGAATGTGGGATCTATAACTTAATGGCAAAATCACAAACAAATATTTAAAAAGACACAAAAAAATATATTTAAAAAAACCTTCATGCATTCCTGAGCTGAATAATAATACATATTCTTTAAACGTTTTTCTATTGTACCCAAATCCATTGGCCGTTTAATAACATTGTGATAGTCCTGCAAATTAAGAAATTAGAGTGGGCACAAAAATGGAGATGTAATTTTTTAAAGTATAACGGATGAAGCAAAAATAAATTGGCACACAAAAATCAATTACGTGATTAAAAACGTAATTGAATATTGCCATGCCTTTTTCTTCTCAGAAATTACTAAAAATGATTAATCTTCCTTCCACAACTTCACTCTATTCCTTATGGCATTTAATCAATCAATAAAAGGATTATCAGATTTGGGAAGCCTGAGGGAAGAAAGGGATTTAAGGGAAGAAATGGGGAATACGAAATTGAAGATAACTCAAAAATTTGTTTCGTATCATCCATAAAATTTTTTAACAGTTTTAGAATGGAAGACATTAGATTTATAGACCTAACCCTAAGCTAAAAATTATCCCACAGAAAAACCCTATAACGGATTAACCATAAACGATGACTCACCTGAATCCCTAACTTAATAGAATCAACAGGTCTCTGAAAAGGCCAGGCATGTTTATGATTTTTAGCTTGTTTGAGAACATCTTTCATAAGAAAATCCAATTGGTTTGTCCAACGAACAGGTTTTCCAATGGGAGGAACTACACGAGGTTGAACCATTCCATTAACGGCCTCCTAATGTTTAAATTAATAAAAAGTATCAAAATTTAAAACAAAACCAGTATTGGAGAAGACCATCCTTCCAGTGTTTCCCTAGAAGATGAAGACTCAACAGGAATAGTTTCAGTTCTCGATAACGTTGTTAAATCAGCATTATCACCAACGACAGATGAAAGACTTGTAGTTTCAACAGAATGGGTAACAGTTTCATTTTCATTTGGTTGAACATCGATGGTGGATGTTCCCGCTAAAAAATAAAAAAATATCAAATACAGGGTTTATAGGAAGGGGAATAAATTTAAAATCTAATTAAAAAATTAACTAAAAAATACCATTATTTTCTGTTTGTTCCTGAGTTGTAAAACAATTTTCTTCATTTTCGGTTAAAACCTCGGTTTTTAAGTTAATTTTATCAGACATTTGCTGAAAAATAATCTGTAAAACATTTTAAAAAGTGAGAAAAATGGCATAGACTATAGGTACACACAAAAATTAATTTGAAAAGAATAAGTCAAAATTTCAAGAATTGGGCATAGAAACAATAGATTTTAACAAAAATTACACGAAAAACGTCAAAAAACACGAAAATCTAGCGTCAAAAAACATTAAAACACGTATTTTAAATAAAATAAAAAATATTTTATAAAAAATAATGGCGTCCAAACACTATATAAATACAGTATTTCAACGCCTGCAGTTTATTAGAGATAAAGCAAATTTAATAGAAACGATGAATAGAGACAAAGAAAAATATAAGAGAAAGCAAAGAAAAATACATTCAATTTTAAATAATTTGGCGCTAATTTAAAGTTGTATGCTATTTATTAATTATAGAAAAAGACAAAATATGTCAACTTAGCAAAAGGTAAAATAGTGAAAATTATGTCAAAATGGTAAAATAAAAATGTCTAAATTTTATAATGTCCAATTTTTAAAATGTTCAAGAAGCGACTTTATTTTACTTTGGTCTAATTTTTATTAAACTTTTTAGTAAAAATGGAATTGGGAAACATCGAGATTAGAAATATTTCAAAGATTGAACGAATTGGAGCACACTCACACATTACCGGGCTTGGATTAAAAGAAAATTATGAACCTCTTGATATTGCTGAAGGAATGGTTGGACAACATTCAGCGCGCAAAGCTGCTGGTTTAATTGTTAAAATGATAAAGGTTTTCTTTCTCTTCAAATTTCATTAAAAATCTCTCCTAAAGGATGGCCATATAGCCGGCAGAGCTTTGCTAATTGTTGGAAATCCTGGTACTGGAAAGACGGCCGTTGCAATGGCTATTTCAAAATCTGTTGGGGAAGACACTCCTTTTGTTTCTATTTCTGCTAGTGAAGTTTATTCAATGGTAAGGAAAATTTTTTGAAAAAATTTTATTTAAAACAGCGCATTTTTAGGACATAAGCAAGACCGAAGCACTCACTCAAGCCTTCAGAAAATCGATTGGAATAAGAATTAAAGAAGAAACTGAGGTTTGTAAAGCTCTTTATTGTTCCAAAATTAATTTTAAAATTTTTTCAGGTCCTAAAAGGCGAAGTTGTTCAAGTCGAAATTGATCGTCCTGCAACTGGTGTTGGTCCAAAAGTTGGGAAATTGACTTTAAAAACTACAGACATGGAGGTATATTTTTAAACTTATTTTAAAAATTTTTTTAAATTCAAAAGGCAATTTATGATATTGGAAATAAAATGACTGAATCATTAATAAAAGAACGTGTAACAAGTGGAGATGTAATTCAAATTGATAAAGCAACTGGGAAAATTACAAAAATTGGAAGGTCAATTTCAAAATCAAAAGATTATGATGCTCTTGGTCCCCAAGTTAAATTGGTTCCTTGCCCTTCAGGAGAAATTCAATCACGAATGGAAATTGTAAATACAATATCTTTACATGATATTGATACAATTAATTCACGTTTGTTTGATTTTTTGAAATTTTTTAAGAGATTTCTCTTAAAGGTTCTCATGGTTATATGGCAGTATTTTCTGGAGATACTGGAGAAATTCGGAGCGAAGTTCGAGAGCAGATTAATAAAAAGGTTTTGATTAATTTTACTTAAGGCCAGAGTCGTCGGTTTCCCCGAAAATCTTCGGTCAACCGAAACCCAACCGACAACCCGATTTGGTTAATCAAAACCGAGCCCCAAACCTTAGATTTTTCTGTCTGGTCTGAAATCGACAACCCCACTCAACCCTCGTTTAAAATTAAATTTTTATAAAATTTAAAGGTTATTGAATGGAGAGAAGAAAACAAAGCACAAATAATTCCAGGAGTTTTATTTGTAGATGAAGTTCACATGCTTGATTTGGAATGCTTTTCTTTTCTTAATCGTTATATTGAATCCGATCTTTCACCAATTTTGGTGATGGCTACAAATCGTGGAATAACTAATATTCGAGGCACATCACTTGGATCTCCCCATGGAATTCCGTTAGATTTGCTTGACCGTTGTTTAATTATTCGGACGGTAAAATATACTGAACAGGTTTTCTTTGTATTTTTAAAATTAAAAAAAATACTTTTTTAAAGGAGATTCGTGAAATATTAAGAATCCGCTCATCAGACGAATTAATTGAAATGGACCAAGATGGGCTAGATTTTCTTGTTTCTGTTGCTGGAAAAACTTCGTTAAGGTACAAGGGAAAGTTTAAGATTTTTTCAAGGGTTTTAAGTCGGGGTATTCGGAATTTTTTTAAATTCCGAATATTTTTTAGACAATTTTTAGTCCCTCGGTTAACCTCTAAAAATTCTCAGAAAACCTCTAAATACTCCAAAAAAAAATTTCAGATATTGTATGCAATTAATCTCAACCGCCGATATCATCCGACAGAGGAGAAAGGGAGAACAAGTCGACAAAAGCGACGTAGAAAAGGCCTATCAACTTTTCAGTGACATGGGTCGTTGTAAAGAAGAAATGGAAAAATACGAAGATTGGTTGATTAACGATGTTAATTAAATTATTTTTAATCTTTTTTGTTTTGAAAGTATTTTTTGTTTTTCGTCAATAAAAAAAATTTTTTTTTAATTTACCCAACGTCAGAATTCATTTCTTTAGTTGTCTCTCCTTTTACAGAACTCCTAGCAATTTCCATATGTTCATTTTTAAGTTTTTTGACGAGATCTTGTCGAAGTTGTTCCACAGTGGTTTCCAGAAGTTGAATTCTATAAAAAAAATGAAATTATAAATTTAAATAAGGGAGCCTGTTTGGTAGATTATAAGGACCCGAAAAACCTTTAAAATTAAATCTTAAAAGGTTGGGCGGCTAGGAAGGAACCGAAATAATAAGTTGACTGAACTGCGTGTTATCCATTACGCCATGCCACCTCCTCCACGGTCTTCGGAATAAAATGCTAGATCTTCAAAAAATGTTAAATTTCTTAATTAACCCGACAGTCGATTTCTGCATATAATTTTAAACGAATTAGAAAGGAAGAGGGAGAAACAAGGTCTTATTTTCTAGTCCACATTTAAATTAAAAAGTCAAAAATCACTCAACTGTTTGTCCTTAAAATTTAACTCGGATTGATGCGATTTTTGCAAATGATTAAAATATTCTTTGCGATTTTTAGTAACAGACGAGCAATATTCAGCGATTCGACTATATTCTGCCTAAATAAAAAAAATATTTTTCCCCATAAAAAAATTTAAATTAACCAAAATAGCATTTATAACTTCATTAAATTCTTGAATTGAAGCTCCAGAAACAAGCTTGCTTCGATATTTTTCTATATCCTCTTCAGTCAAATATTTGGGCTCGTCCGGTTGTTTAGACTAAATAAGAATATAATAAATTTATTAAATTAGGTATTTAGAAAAAAATTGTGGAAAATTTTGTCCGCAAGTTTTTTTTGCGGACAATTTTTTAATCCGCAAATTTTTTGCGGAAATTAAAAAAAAGTTTTTTACAAAAAAAATTTACAGAGTCAGTGCCTGCCTTCTGTTGAACTTCGCTCACAGCAGGTGAAGCTATCGATTGTACGAGTTTCTTCAAACCTTCAACTTCTATCTTGCTGACTGGTTGTGCCTGCTGGAAAAATTTTTTTAAAGAAAAATTTTCAAAAAAAGAAAAAAACCTTTTCAGATTCAGCCATCAATTCTTTAATTTCTGAACAGATTTTTTTATATTTTTGTTCAAAAGAAAGTTCTTCAATCTCCCAGTCTTGAGGAGAGCCTTCAAATATCTCATTAGCCTTGTATCCGCGTTTTAAACGCGATGAAGTCACCGAATCAGAAAAATCTTTAAAAAATAAGTTTCTAGAAAAATTCTTTGTAAATAAAATTTTTAGAAAATATCTTAAGGGATTTAAAGAACCAAAGTAATTTTAAAAATGCACCTAAACCCTTAGTTTTCTTAACTATTAGTGTTAGGAAGGAAAAAATGTGAATGTTAGGAAGGAAAAAATGTGAAGTATGACAGAAAATCTAATTCCAACAGGATGGGCTTTGAATAAAAAAATAATGTTTTATGTAGAGCCATTCTTAGACCTCCATATAATTACTACTCCAATTTCCTTTTCCGCTATTCCAGTGATGGAACGGATTACCCGAAATCCCTTTCTTAATCCAACACATCCCTACTTAAGTTAGCTTATTTTATCCAACAAAGATCACCAAGCTCAACAACCCCACTCGTTAAAAAGTAAAAAAAGTAAAAAATTAACGAACCTGCACCTCCCGAGTCTAACAAACAATTTCCAAAACGCCTTTTAGCAGCATTCAAATCAACATGGACCTTTTCAATTTCTTTATTTTCAAAATATTCCTCGTCATCATCAGGCTCCGGTTCAGGCAAATCTTCTGTTTCATAAACATCTTCTTTGTATAACGACATTAACAAAATAATAAATTATTAATTATAGAGCTAAAAAATCTGCAAAAAAAATTTTAAATAAAAATTTTCAAAAAATATTCCCTTAAATTTTTATAAAAAATATTTAAAATTAATAAAAAAAATTATTTTGTCACACAATTTATATTTTATTTATTTTTCTTTAAATCAAAAACTTAACATGAAAGAAAAATTGAGTAAAATATATTTAATTAATGTCATTTCTCAATTTTTAACTACACAAATTATTTTTTTACTTTAAAAACTGACGTGTGTTTAAATAAAAAATGAAATCTAAAATGGGTGAAAATATTTTGTAAATTTTCTAAGCCGATTTGTGGTAGTTAGAACAACTAAAAATCAATAAATCGATTTGCGGATTTGTCCGCAAAATATTTGCGGCTAAAATAGATATCCGCAAAACATTTGCGGACAAATCCAAATATCACATAAACGTCCTTTTTTACAAAAAAACCACTTTTAGAGAAAATCTACAAATTTTCTGAGATATAAAATAGCAGTAAATATAAATGAATGCAACTGCGACAAGATTAAATGAATCAAAAAAAAAATATTTTTATGTGAAGCAAATTTATATTTTTATTTTTATTGAGAGATGACAACGAACAAAAAAATTTTTTTTATAGAGGAGTGTTTAATTATAGTATTTTATCAATGGGAATGGGACGAGTGTGGTGAACAAAAAATTAAGCTAGGCCTTGACCCTTTTTTTCCAATCCCAAGATGTTCGAGACCAGTTTAAAACATCTAAAAATTCCCCTAAAAATTTTAAAGTCAATGAATTTTAAGTCAAGATTTCTTTAAAGGCCGAGCATAAAAATACAATACAATAGATTAATGATGGATAAATGTGTGCTCATAAAGGAAGAAAAAATAGAAGACGACGTAATCTCGAACCAAAATACTAGGTAATAATTTTTTTTCGATCGGTCAGAGAGTGCACAAGAAAATATTTTTTTCTAAAAAATATAGAGATCGGACGAAAACCTTACATATTTTCCTATAAAAAATTTTTTTTTATTTTCGGAAAAATAAAAAAAATTTCATGAAAAGTTCAAAAAAATTCAAATAAATTTTAAAAAAATTCAAAAAACCAATCTGACATCTAATCTCTATATTTAGAATAACTAAACAAATAAAATTATATAAGTCTTTAGTGCCAAAAAACAAACAAAAAAAAATTCAATGATGATAACCTTTTTTTTAAATAAAGCCTAAATTATTTTTTTCCTTTCTTCTTTCTTTTTTTTTGTGTATACATTAAAAGTCAATAAAAAACGAAAACAAAAAAAATTTTTTTTTCTAATTTTTAGGGGGATTTTATATTCTTCTCTCATTGCTTTTTTTATAAATTTTCCTAGCTTTCTTCCCGCAATAACTCAAAAGTAACCATACCAGAACGACTTTCCTGATCTTGTTCAATATTAGCAGCATATGCACCACACTCAACCATTACAATACGATTTTTTGGTAAATTCTTAAACTTTACCATTGCCTTAAAAATATATTTTTTAAATTAAGAAAATAAAAATTTTCATTTTAATAAACATATATCAGGAGTTTAAGAACACAACCAAAATTTTTTAAATAATAACTCCGGTGTTGGGTATAAAGGAGAGTTTTGTGGCCTCCGACCCTCTTTCAAATCTCAGCTCCTATCTGTTAATCAAAAAATGATTTTGGAACTCTGGAGGGCCATATCTTGGCCAGATCAAAAAACGGGCAAAAACGGCTCAAAATCCTTGCTAGAAGGGGCACATTCTCTAGCGAATAAGCCCGGTCTCGACCGTTTTTAGCTCGGACACCTCGCAACCTCTCCGTGTTGAAATATTATTAGTTTATGAGTCCAAAATTAAATTTTTTTTAATAAACAAAAAAACAAACGAATGGTTGCTGATAATTATCCATAACGGCATAAGGATAATAACGTCCATCAATGCCTTCCTTTGGAATATATTCTACAGCACCAATAAGTTCATCATCAATTTCACTCTTTAAAATTTTTTAAAAAATTCAAAAAAAATTATTTAAAAAAACCGTTCCATTGCAGTAAAATGTAATGTGTCCAGGCGCGTATCGATCTTTCAATTCATCCGGAATTTGATCTTTTTCATAGTCTTTAGGTTGCCAACCAATTAAACGATTTAACGATAAAATGATACAAGGCGTTCCCTTCTGGAAGCCATAATCTGTATCGTTACCACAACCTGCTTTGTTAAACTCGGTTAATTCAAAGCGACAAGCCTGGAAATATATAAGAAAAATGTAAAGTCTTTTTGAAAATTTTCGGCCCCATCCCCCGACGCCAAAAAGGAGGAAAATGACCTCTCTGCATTGATCTCAGCCCCTATCCATCGACGTTAAAAACGAGGAAATCTGGATTATTTTCTATGTCTACCCTGCCCTAAAAATGTCTTCCCCCGGTCCTTCCCCAGCATTAAGATTTCTCCGAAGCCCTCAGCTCCTACTGATAGACATGAAAAAAAAAGAAAGAAAAAAGAAAGAAACAAGCCACTGGGTTCCCCATTAAAATTTCCAAATCATTTTAATAAGATTCCCAAATTAAAAAGTAAACAAAAAAATTAAAACCAAACCTCCGCCTTGCCATTTGCTTTTCCTTCTTTAATAAATTCAGAATTAGACATTTGTCCACTACACTTCCTAGTTTTTTCTGTTTTTGAATATTTTTCCAAATATTTATTGATTGTGTTGGTATAGGCTGCATAACTAGAACTATTTTTTGGATTAAACTTTATTAGAGTCGATTCTGGCTGGTCCTTCAACCAAGGCTGATATCCAACACCTTAAAAGTATAAAATTAAAATTTTCGTCTCAAAAATTCGTCTAATAAAAGGATATCATTAGATTTACATGATTCGCTTGTCCAAGTAAAATTAAGGCAACTTCAAAAAAAAAGTTTGAGAGAATACCACACCAATCTTTGCAATTATGCTTGGAAATTTAAAATTGACGCGTATCCGTATGATAGGTTATATTCTTCCTTGTACAGGTACGTATACGAATTTTGCTACAAGGTTCCAAGCACTGGTACCTACACCCAAACTTGAAAAGATACCCAGTCCGAATCCACCAAGTTAATAACTTGGGTTGTCGGCTATGGACCGAACCGAGCCGAAGAACCGATGATTTTTCGGTTCGGATCGGTTCCGGATACAAGAACCGACAACCCTATTAATAACACTTATCATTAAGAATGTTAAAAACCCCCAAAATGTTTATTTAAAAAACAACCTGGATTATCCCCAATAATAGTATCCTTTCCATAATATTTAGGTGTAGAATTATCAATAGTTTGCAGAAAAATGGCTAAACAGGCAATCCAAAAAGCTGCGAGAAAGATATAGAAAAAAATGTAGAAAACAACAATTTGTACTTGAAAAAAATTTTTTGTAGAAAATTAAAAATAAAAATTTAAAAACATACCCCAAGATTTTCCCGTCCGTCCCAAAAATGTTCCCTCACGTCTATTATAAATAAAAGTCGATAATGATGTTTTAGCAGAAGGTTTAGTCCTTCCATTGGCCATTAACTATAAAAAATAGAGTTAAAAAATTAGAAAAAATTTAATTTTTACAGTGTTGTTTTCCTCAACAAATTTCCCAGCTTCATCCTTCGTCATATCAGCAAAATCGCAATAAAGCGAGAAGAAAATACAAAATAAATTTATATTTAAAATCTAGACAACTATCTAACTGACAAAAAAATCCTGTTAAAAATAGAATAAAAAATTAGAAAAAATTTGTAGAAAAACGCGAGAGAATTTGGGTAAAACTTTTAGAAAAATTGGATTGAAAACACAAAAATTCAGTTAAATTTGGGCCAAAATCAAGGAAAAATAAATAATTTAATGAAAAAAGGTAAATAAACTGAGAGGTCAATTTTTAAAAATTAAAAAAAAAATTTCAAAAAAAAATATTTTAAGAGTTAGTATTAAGTAAGTTAGGACACAATCGGTTAACCGAACCGAAAACCATGGGTACCGATTAATTAATAAGCGGTTGTGCTCTATCCTAGTATTGATCTTAGCAAAAACATTAAAAATTCGCTCAAATAAAAAATAAAATTCTCAAAAGCTTTCCCTTCAAAAAGCCAATTAATTTAATTAATCATCTCAATTTTAAAATAATTTTTAAGAGGTAAATAAAAAAGACGATAAAAATTCGAGACAAGCAAATAAAAAGGCAAAAAAAATAAAAAGCTGAAAGAAAGCACACAAGACGCGCAATAAAAAAAAGAAGAAAAAAATCAATTTTAAAAGGCAACTTCTTCAAATTAAAATTTTTAAAATAAAAATTAATAAATTATTAAAAAATCGGAAATTGGGTTTAAAAAAGAGAACAAACAAAAATATAAAAATTTTAATGCGCGTAGATTGACTAAACATTTAAAAAAGGAGGGGAAAAAATGATGTGAGATGTGAAAATAGAAAAATAGAAAAGAAAATTAAATATTAGAAAAAAATAGGGGAAAATTGAAATTGAGAAGGAAAAACCAGTTTTTTGAAATTTTAACAGCCTAAGCAAAAAATTGACACAACGAGGGATGATTAAAAAAGATTTTGTTGTTATTCAACCATAGAGGGAATTAAAAAAATCAGAAAAAAATCCAAAAAAAAATTTTTTTTTAAATATGGATTAAAAAATTTTAACAAAAGAAAAGTAATTAAGTAAAGAATAGAAAATGAACTTTCCTCTCTTCCCTTTTCTCTCCGTGCCCGCTCAAAACATCAAACGCTTAAAATATCTAGACGACTAAAAACGCTAAAAATATCTAGACGGGTAAAAACGCTCAAAACATCTAGACGACTAAAAAGGCTCAAAATATATTCGCTCAAAACATCAAACGCTCAAAATATCAAAATATATTTTTCATTTAAAGGGGACAGTTGAGTCCGCGGAAAAAAATTTTGCCGCTGCGGAGGAAGCCGGGCATGTCGAGCGGAACGACGGCCGCCGCTTCGCTACGGTCGCGGCGAGCGAAGCGAGCACGACCGCAGCGAAGCACGGCCATCGTGTAGCGAAGACCATGCCCGGCCTACCCTCCGTAGCAGCACAAAAACAGTTTTTCCAGCGAAGATTCAGTTGGTCATAACTTTGTTCACAATCATCCAATCGAGCTGATTTTGGTGTCATTCAACTCAGCTCGTCGAGCCCTTTCTCAACACGTCGAGTTCATGCAAAATTGGTCCTGAGATACTACATTATTCACCCCTGATACAAGGAAGAAATATTGGACTCAACTGTCCCTTTTAATCAAAAAATATTTTGATATTTTGAGCCTTTTTAGCCGTCTAGATATTTTGAGCGTTTGATGTTTTGAGCGAATATATTTTGAGCCTTTTTAGTCGTCTAGATGTTTTGAGCGTTTGCTGTTCTAAAAAAATATGTTTTGTAGGGTAGCCTTTCTCTCTCTTTTTTTCTCTGTCACCCCTTAAAGTACATAAAAAAAGCATCGATTTGCCAGGTCATTCTCGTTCGAATATATACTAACCATAAATTACCCGGCTACCTTTTAGGACAATAAAACAGGTGGTCGGGAAGAAAGAAAAAAAAATAAAAGAAAAGCAAAGTAAAGGAAGGAGCGACAAAAGAACCCACAAAAATGCCGATTTTTGTGGGTATTTTTACAAGAAAAAAATTTTTTTCTTCAAGTTTATCAGCAAATATACTTGGTAGAATATTCTCTCGCGTGTAAAAAAATAGTAGAAGGATAAGCTAAGAACACAAGAAAAATAAAAAAAGAATATCAAATTTAGTATAAGGCTGTAAAAAGAAAAAGAGAATTGACTTGTAGCTATGTACTTAAATATACTCTAAATGCTTCTTTTCTCTTCTTTTCTGCCAGCTCTTGCACATTTGGTCAATACCATATTTTGCCAATAAGGGTAAAAAGCCACGTTTTGCCAATAAAATTATTGGCAAAATGTGGAATTCTAGCTTTATTGGCAAAATATGGAATTGGCAAAATGTGGCGTCATGTTTCTGCCAGCTTCTTTAACCTTCCCTTAACCACTTTGCTTTTCTTTTTCTCTAATTTCTACAGCTAATTTACCCACTAAAGACAAACGACAGACACAAAAAATAGATATTTACTTACGTCTTTTAAAATTAGACTAAAACAACTTAAGTCTTCAGCACTTTAATATAGTACTCTTTTTCTCTAAACTCTCTTCAGTTTAGTTCATACTACCTTACACTTTTTATTTTCTCTCTTCTTTTCTCTAACATTTTTCTCCAACTTTTTTCTCTAACCTTTTTTTCTTTTAACTAATTTTTCGTCTGGCCAGCCGGTAAATTTGAGGCTGGTGGTGACAGGATTATATGTATTTGTGGACATTCTCGCCGTATTTTCTCGTTCCGCCTTTTTTCATATATCTATTGCCTGCCAGCCTTGTTGACTGATTGTGTCTCTCTCGTTTAGTAAATGAAATAAAAAAGAAAAAGAACGAATTTACTAAAAATCGACGGAAACTCTTGAAAATGACGTTTAAACAACAAAAGTTTAATTTTAGATTTTGGAAAAAAAATATTGAAAATCGACAACAAAAAAACGCCCATAACAAATGTTCGGAAATGAAATGTTCTTCCATTCTTTTTCACGTGACGGGGCAATTCACCGTCCTAACAAAATACCGTCATTATACCATCGGGACAATATACCGTCATACCAATATACCGTCCACAGAAGACTAAAGGTCTGACAGTATTCTTGTCTGACGGTGTTTTGTCTCTCACCCCTTTGAAAACTTAAATTGCAACCCTCGATTGAGAGGTTTTTTAATCGAGAGAGAAATTTTTTCAAAATTTTTAATCAACCCCAAAAAAAATTACTGGCCCTATAGAAAATGTCAAAACAAATTAAAAGATTAGTAAAACGATAAGAAAAATAAATAATTGTGATTACTTAAAGTACATATTTTTAGAAGGGAAGGGGTCTTTAAAAAATATATAATTTAAAGAAATGTTTTCCCCATAGAATATTAAAATATGGAAATAATTTAAAAACGAGAAAAGAGAGCTTATTGGAACACAACAACAACAACAAGTCTTTAATATTGGAAGGCGAGAAAAAATATGTATTTATGGTTATTTGGGAAAATATTAAAAAAATAAAGGGGGCAATTTACCGTCCAGACAAAATACTGTCCCGTGTAATAAATTCGATTTGTGCTTTTATCTTGTTAATTTGATATCTTTAGACTTTACTGCTAATGAGCTTTGACTAGTACTATTAACTCCTATACCCAAAAATTTTATTTTAAAGTCTGTCTATTGTAACCGAAAGTGACGATATTCTTTACACTCTGTGGGGACGGTATTTTGTAGGACGGTGTATTGTCCTGTCACGAAAAAAAGTAAAAAAGTATATAAAAAAAGAAAAGTGCTTGTAAGTATATAAAGCTTTCTCGCAGTACCACCTGCGGCTTTTCTGCAAAAAAAGACTTTTCTCCTGCAAAAGACATATTTTTGGGCCAAAAATAAATAATAAAATGGGATAAACGGTCAACGATTGTTAGAAAGAACAAAAAAAGTAAAAAAGAAAAGCAAGTAATTTATTCAATTGATTTTTGTTTTTGAAGTCAATTTTTCATTGTTTTTAAAGGAAAAGCAAAAAAAAAATAAATTTGTCAAATAAACAATGTTAGGGTGAAGATAGGAGGAAGTGTTGAATAAAAAAAGGAGTGGAAATTCCAAAAAAAACGTGAAAAGCATGGAAAGGACTGAAGAAGAAAATGAAGGAGAAAGGAGGGAAGAGAGGACGGAAGTCGCTACAAAAAAGAATAATTGAGCTTTTTGATCTATCAACTAATCTTTTTTTGCTAGCAATTTTTAGAGTGAGCAATCAAAGTAGAAAGGTTATATAAAATGAGTGTCAATAATATTTTTTAAAAGAAAAGAATTTACAAAAAAAATTGCAAGGAACACAAGACTATTGATCATTAAAAGAAAAACAAGGAAAAAAAGCTAATCGAGCTAAAAAAGCTAGAAAAAAAAATATTTTTGAATTTATTATGCTCGTGCTGTAAAAAATGAGTGGATAGATGGAATAGAACCATCGTGGAAAGGTTTCCCAAACCGAAGCACAACTGGACAACCAAATTCTAAGCAATTTGAGGCCTTAATCGAGACATCTAAAACGGCAAGGGATTGGAAGGGTGAACCTGAGATTCTGAAAACTCCCAACGCTGTTGATTACTCAAATACGAGAAAAATTACTCGATTCGATGGTTTCATTTATACGTTTTATCTGCTTAGGCTATAGAAAAAAAATTAATTTTTCTTGTAAAAAAATTGTAAAAAATAGGTAAAAAGTGGGTAAAATTCCGTCATATACCCCATGGCCAAAATTAATAAAAAACTATTTTATATTACTTTTTATGCTCTAAAATGTATAGCAAATGTAATTTTAGAGGCGCGCTCTAGAAATTTGCTGAGATATTGGGCTCGAAATGGTCAAAAATCATAAGACTCAAAATGGTCAAAAACGTTAAATTTAAAATACGTTTCGATCGAAATATATTTTATTCGAAAGAGCTCGTCGAGCTAAGTCGAATGACACCAAAATCAACGAAATCCGTCTTGGTTTGACAAAGTTATGATCGTTTCTTTTAGCTCCTTACGTATGGCATCCGTGGAGTTTTTGCTGTTGTGGAAGAAGCTGTGCATTCCCATCTCATTGATGATAGGAATAGGACCATGTTACGAGCCCAGACCCAGCGCCCGTAGACTCCCCGCGAGGCGCGTGCCGCAAAACCCCGCGCGAAGCGCGGGGTTTTGCACAAGCGCCTCGCCGACGCTCCATAGGTTTACGTTGTTTATTATTTGTATCGTAACTTTGTACAGACTTGTTAGAACACGTTGATTTTGGTGTCATTCGACTTAGCTCGACGAGCTCTTTCGAATAAAATATATTTCGATCGAAACGTATTTTAAATTTAACGTTTTTGACCATTTTGAGTCTTATGATTTTTGACCATTTCGAGCCCAATATCTCAGCAAATTTCTAGAGCGCGCCTCTAAAATTACATTTGCTATACATTTTAGAGCATAAAAAGTAATATAAAATAGTTTTTTATTAATTTTGGCCATGGGGTATATGACGGAATTTTTCCAAAAAGTGTGCAAAAAAGATCTTATATTTTTGGGAATAAAAATTAGATTTTTGATTTTCAGAATTAAACTGTAAAAAGAAAGAAATAATAAATTGTGCAATAAAAAGGTGTACAAAAGGACCAAAAATAAAAATTAAAAAAAATATTTAA